TTCTACGAGTTATATTAAAATAAAAAATTTAAATTTAAATATGCGTTAACTATTTTTTTAATGAGTTCCTTTTGTTACCATTTGTACAGTTTGACCACTCATGTTTGTAAAGTGTTATATATCATATTAATTAATCTTATCAATTTTTTTAAAAAATACTAATTATTTAGATGGTCCAAGAGAAACGAGATGTGTCACATCTCTTAGGATGAAAATCCTTCTCCAAATGTATCTGAGAGTTTCAGTAGCCTCGCCGATCGACTTGCCACACCGCCGTACTACATGCTTTGTCGTCTGTTCGTGGCAGTATATATATTATCCCCTTGCTGTGTCCGTCGACATAAGTGGAGTGTACTAGGTAGACACACTAGCTAGCTAGAGTGATCCAGCTAGCATGGAGGCCTCAGCCATGGAGGAGGCCCTCTCGAAGAAGACGACGAGCAAGGGAGGCCTCAGGACCATACCATTCATCATCTGTAAGCGAAGCGAGCCTGCCTGCCTGCATGCATTCCATCCATCTTTCACCCTGATTTTGCCGGCATCATCTGCACGCCGGCTTTGCACGAGACATATGTACGAGGCTGGCTGGCCTGGATCGAGATGCAAGTTTGGTTTACTTTGTGTTGTTGGTGTCAGCGAACGAGGTGTTCGAGAAGGTGGCCACGTTCGGGCTGCACGCCAACATGATCCTCTACCTCACCGAGAGGTACCACATGACGGCGGCCACCGGCACCGTCGTGCTCTACTTCTGGAACGCGCTCTCCAACTTCCTCCCCATCTTCGGCGCCGTCCTCTCCGACTCCTGCCTCGGCCGCTTCCGCGTCATCGCCCTCGGCTCCGTCGTCAGCCTCGCCGTAAGCACAAACACCAACCAAACCATCCATCCATCCATCGGAGTTTCTTGCGCGATGACACGTTAGACGTGCGTGCGTGCAGGGGATGTGCCTGCTGTGGCTGACGGCGATACTGCCGGCGGACAGGAGGACGCCGGAGTGCGAGGCGAGGCGGGATGACTGTCAGCTGGTGCCGTGGCAGCTGCCGCTGCTGTTCGCGTCGTTCGTTCTCATGTCGGTTGGGTCGGGTGGCATCCGGCCGTGCGCGCTGGCGTTCGGGGCGGACCAGCTGGACCGGCGCGACAACAGCGCCCGGAACGTGCGTACGCTGCAGACCTTCTTCAACTGGTACTACACCGTGCTGGGCCTCTCCATCGTGCTCGCCTCCACCGTCATCGTGTACATCCAGCAGGCCAAGGGGTGGGTCATCGGCTTCGCCGTGCCCGTCGTGCTCATGCTCACCGCGCTCACGCTGCTCCTCCTCGGCTCGCCCTTCTACCTCAAGGCGGAGGCCGACAGGAGCGTGCTCGTCGGCCTCGTGCAGGTGCTCGTCGCCAGCTACAGGAAGAGGAGGGGTCCCTTGCCGCCGGAGACGGCCGACGCGTCGCGCTTCCACAACCGGGCCGGGTACAAGCCGAGGACTCCGTCGAACAGGTTGAGGTGGTTGAACCGTGCGTGCGCGCTGGGGGACAACCCGGACAAGGAGGTGAACCCCGACGACGGCTCGGCGCGCGACCCGTGGACGCTGTGCACGGTGCAGCAGGTGGAGGACGTCAAGGCCGCCGTCCGCGTGCTGCCGATATGGTCGACGGGGTTCATGCCCGGCGTGATCATCGGCCAGCAGATGTTCCCCGTGCTGCAGGCGAAGACGATGGAGCGGCGGGTGGGCGGGCTGGAGATCCCCGCGGCGTCGTTCGGCGTCTTCAGCATCCTCACGCTCACCGTCTGGGTGGCCGTCTACGACCGCGCGCTCGTCCGCCCGCTGTCGCGGCTCACCGGCCACGCGCGCGGCGTCACCCTGCGGCAGCGGATGGGCATCGGCCTGGCGCTCTTCGCCGTGGCCATGGCCGTGGCCGCGCGCACCGAGGCCGCCCGCCGCGCCGAGGCGCTGGCCGAGGGTCTCCGCGACTACGGCCCGCAGTCGGGCCGCGCCGTGCGCATGTCCGCCATGCGGCTGGTGCCGCAGCACTGCATCACGGGACTCGCCGAGGCGCTGAACCTGATCGGGCAGATCGAGTTCTACTACTCCGAGTTCCCCAAGACCATGTCCAGCATCGGCGTCTCGCTGCTGGCGCTCGGCATGGGGTTCGGCAGCGTGGCCGGGAGCGCCATCGTCGGGGCCATCAACGCCGGCACCAGGAGCGGCGGCGGCCGCGACAGCTGGCTCTCCAGCAACCTCAACAGGGGGCACTACGACTACTACTACCTCGTCCTCGCCGCGCTGTGCGTTGCCAACCTCGCCTACTTCGTGTGGTGCGGATGGGCGTACGGCGAGGAGGGCCAGAACCGGGTGACCGCGGAGGAGGAAGCGGTGGAAGACACCAAGACCAAGGAAGAACAGCAGCAGAAACTGTAAAACCTTTTTAGTGAGGCAGGCTGCTGCTGTGTTCTGCTTCAGCTTTCTACTTCTCTAGTTCTCTCTTGTGAAAATTGTAGTAATATTTACATGTATATGTTGGTGCAAAAATGGATGGTTCGACCTCGAATCCTATCAGCCCTCCGGATCCAAAGATCCTACAGGGCACAGGCTGCTACCTGCAACGTTAAAATGCTAGTAGTAGCAGCAGTTTTTTTTTTTCTGTTACTTGGATGGGTTGCATATAAGTAGTGATAAAAACGGTGACAGAAATTTTCTACCGACCGAACATCGTTTTGGTAAAAGTAGTATGGTTCGATTCTACTGTAGTAAATATAAAATTTGACTTTTCTAATTTCTTTTAACCCTTGTTCGGTTAATCCTCATGAGGGAGGCAATGGAGGGTATTTATTCCACACCTATTTGTGGTGTGGAATTATTCCCCCTTAATCCCCTCCAAACCGAACAAGACCTTAATGTGATATTACAATGGTGGCAAGTATAGCTAATGTTTTTCACTTGTAAAGTTTACTCCTCCTCTATTCAATGAAATTGGCAGCTTGCCGATTCGTTCAAAAAAAAAAGTATAGCTAATTCTCGACTGACCGATAATCGTTTACATAGAGATACTTCCATTTTCGATCCTCCGTAGAGACCTACTCGTCAGCAGTCGTCAGCATTCGCCAGCATCAAACGGACATGATAAGATGATCACCGCTTCTCTTGCAGCCTTCAGCATTAATGCTGCTTGAGTGCTTGTTGCTGGCGCCAAAATGCTGATGAACCAACAGACAAGATAGCTCCCGCTAAAACCAGTTACGCACTGCAATCAATATGCAGTTTTGCTCGACGTAGCGCATGGATCATTCAGTGGTTGAATACGATGTAGACAAAATTCAACGAGGCCTCCTTGTTTCCCAATTCTCATCATGGTCTTCATCAGTCCAACTGTTGCTGACCATCATAGGCATTAAACACTTAAATGCTGGCGTTACATTTTGTTTGCTTGCCACTATTTCTGCCGATTTCCCGATAAGAAAGCCATAACCTTGGAGACTTCGGATATAAATCTCTTCTCCCTCAGGTGCTATAGCAAATTGTTGCTTCTCTGTGTGCTCCGGGTAAACTAAGGTAACTGCTCGATTCCCTATCCTTTTCCTTAGCTTATCTTCTCTTCTCTTCCTCTTAGCGCTATCTTGTGTCACGCCAACTGCAATAGTAGTATAGTACTCCACCATTTGCATCGGTAGATGATTTTATAGCTTGTTCTTAATTTCAAGAATACGTTTTCCTTGATCTCTATGGGAAAACCATGTGTTGAGCTCGGTGGTTGGGGTCACGAGTTTGATCACTATCTCCTACCTTGGATCAAAGAGGTGCAGTGGTTTCTCTGTTGCAAGATCCTTTATGCAATTTTCCTGGAAAAAAACAGGTCCCAGAAAGAGTGCCCTTTTTCTTTGCTGTTCCTCAAAGTTACATTTTCCTGCTAGGCAACAGACATAACTTGTACATTATAGCCTCTAAGGTAAACATTAACGGAAACAAACACATAAGAAATACTGTTCACTGATAGATGCATCTGTATAAAGCGTTGCCCATGGTTAATCACCTCCACCCACTTACCAGCTACTGCCCTTTTAGCTTTGCAGAAGATGGAAGCTCAAGAAGGTGATGTGAAAAGCTGTGAGGCCTCCAAAGTGAAATGGAAAGGTGGATTTGTAGCCCTACCGTTCATCATAGGTATGTTACCATTTTTTTTCGTCTTTTATGTTTTACTTCAAGGGTATCGTTGGATGGCAGAATTTTCAAAGGAATTTTGGAGGATTCTGATACTAAGATTTTTTTTTCCTGCAATAGTTGTTTGGAACATACAAACGAAGCAATTATATTCTGATGAATTGGTTTCATATGCCCTAAATTTAAAAGCAAATATTGTACAGTTTTCCCCCTTCTACAATACAAATACACCCCGTGGGGTTTCAAAAAAAATAAATTTAAAAGCAAATAAATATGAGCTCAAACACCCATGTTTTTACTTTCTAAAGTTCAGTGCATTCTATCTTCCTCTCTTTTGACTCTCTATTGAAAAAACAAATATACTTTCTTATGGATTCATTATCATTTGCTTGTTGGCTTATCTAGTGTAGCCAAAATTTGAATTTTCAAACTTAAGTTCAAAATTGATTTGGGGGCTTTTTCGTCATAGACTATTTTCTAGCCAAGGCTTTTAGACTGCTAATAATAGAGATATAAAAGTTTTAATTATAAATTATTTTTTGTTTTTGTTTATTTTTCTATAACATATCAATCGTAGCTCAACCGATCAGGGCCAGCCAAATGACTCCCATATTCATGTGTCCTGAAATCTTGTGGGATAAGGTAGCATGTCCAAAATTATTCATGGGTTTTCCCTTTTCTTGCGGTTTTAGAACCGTGCATTCCAGTGAGGCCCTTATCTTTCTTGTTATAGTTAGATCACCTCAAATTGCACGCTTGAAGCTGTTAGATTTAGTACCTTCATTTTATACATTCGTTAATTTACTAGTGACTTCAAATGGTTTACGCAATTACGCGCTTTATTTTCCAGTAATTAATGTACTCGATTATGTATTTCCTATCTTTGAATGTATTGAGCACTGCATAGCTTGCCATGTCCTCCTACAAGGAACAAAACTGAACCAAGCGCCTTGGACACACCGAGCATTTCCAAATGGACCACAGGTAGAACTGTCTTGATTATCGGTGTGGCAGTGGCAGTTCAGTGGCACTGCGGTAGAATGACAAACCTAGAACGATCGCTGGCGATAAAGCTGTCACTTTGAGGGCAAATCAAGGGAAAATGGTAATGTTCAGTTGGGAATTCTAGAAAGCAAAGCCACCGATGGAGTACTAGAGAGATTTTTTGGACTGGCAGGGAAAAAACGGCCATCTTAAATTGTGCGCTGCCGAAGATTGCAGGAGAGATACATATGTGAACTCATCTGCATTTCAGAAATAGCTAAAGCATATCATCTTAGTTATTTTCAGCATAAGTGCTCCAACTTAGTCAAGTAACAGGTAAACTGAAGATTACAGTGACGCATATTCACATGCTGTGTTCCGGAAGAGGCGTTTCCCTCCCTACTAGGATTCCTACTTGCTACTGCTTTGCCTAGATTAAGAGCTAGTAGTAGTTGTCCACCTTATGACCTAACTACCGTCTACCGGTTGATATAATTTAACGAGGTTATGCGCCGTGGTACAAGATCCTGCCACTCTTTGCTAAATCCTGTAGGCGTAGCAATTAGCATTTCATTTCTACTGCGCCATGGAGCACTCTCTTGTTGCTGAGGCTGAAGCACAAGTGTTCTTCAAGGCCAAGGCCAAGGGTGGTTTCAGAGCCCTCCCTTTTATCATCTGTAAGTTCGAACTGAAATTCATACAAATGGATTTCAGAAACCACTGATCAGAGTATTTATGCAAATGGATTTATGAAATCCTTCGTTTCTTTCTTGTTTTCTTTGAGATGACATGAGTCAAGTTCTAGAATCTAGATGCATATGATTGGCCTATGATATTCATATGTGAACTTTTTCAGGATAGTGATGTCCATCAATGGTGACTGTGCCCTTCAATTGAGTAAATTCAATCTGACGGAGTTTCTTGTTTCCTTTGCATCTCCTTAGCAAACGAGATACTGGAGAAGGTTGCTGGATTCGGGCTCAACATCAACTTCATCACGTACCTCAACATGCAGTACCACCTGAGCCATGCCAACGCCGGAAGCCTCCTCTTCGTGTGGGGCGCAGTATCAAACTTCGCGCCCATCCCCGGCGCCGTCATTGCCGACATGTACCTCGGCCGCTTCATCGTCGTCGCGATCGGCTCCATCGCCTGCTTCGTTGTGAGTGCAAAAAGAAGATGAGATTTCCATTGACACCGGAGGAGATCGAACACCGAGCTGATGTGCTTTGCTTTGCTTGTTTCAGGGGATGGTTTTCCTGTGGCTGAGCGCCATGATACCCGGAGCGAGGCCGCCACCGTGCGACATGAGTGCCTCGCCGGAGCTGTGCGCGCCGCCGGAGGCGAGGCACATGGCCTGGCTGCTGGCCGGCTTCGTGTTCCTGTCCGTCGGCGCCGGCGGCGTCCGGCCGTGCTCGATGGCGTTCGGGGCCGACCAGTTCTCCAGGCACCCCAAGGAGAGGAGGTCCAGGATCCTGCAGGTGTACTTCAACGCCTACTACGGCTCCATCGGCGTGGCGTTCATGGTCGCCGTCACGGTGGTCGTGTACGTGCAGGACAACCTCGGGTGGAAGGTGGGGCTCGCCGTGCCGACGTGCCTCATGCTGCTCTCCGCTGCGAGCTTCCTCCTCGGCTCCGGCCTATACATCAAGGACAGGGGCTCCAAGCGGATGTTCGCCGGGATAGGCGCCGCCGTCGCCGCGGCGGTCAGGAACCGTAGGGCGTGGCTGCCGGCGAAGACCGAGGACGGCGTGTACCATCACCTCAAGGACTGCAAGCTCACCGTTCCGACGGACAGGCTGAGGTAAGCGACGATCGATCAGCAATGCAGCTTGACAATGGTGCGAATTGCTGTTCAAAGATGCATGATTCGAAGTTCATGTGGTGTGATCGATCTGTTCAGGTTCTTGAACAAGGCGTGCATGATCAGCAACACGAAGGAGGACAAGTCTGGTAGTGGCGGCGCGGACGGCATCAGCGACAGAGGGCGGCTGTGCACGGTGGACCAGGTGGAGCAGCTCAAGTCGGCGATCCGCGTGATGCCGATCTGGTCGTCCACCATCTTCCTCGCGCAGGCCATGAACCAGTACTTCGCGGTGCCGCAGGCCGACGCGATGGACCGGCGCGTCGGCGCCGGCGGGTTCCGCGTGCCCAGTGGCACGTTCGCCGTGTTCAACATGCTCACCATGTCGCTCTGGTCGGGCTGCTACGACCGGTGGACCGCGCCGGCGCTGCGGCGGCTGACGGGCAACCCGCGGGGGCTGACCATGAAGCAGCGGATCGGCGGGGGCCTGGTGTTCGGCACCGCGGCGATGGCCGCGGCCGCCGTGGTGGAGGCCGCGCGGCGCAGGCAGGCGCTGGGCGGCGGCGGCATGTCGGCGTTCTGGCTCGTGCCGCAGTACGCGCTGGCGGGGCTCGCCGAGGCGTTCGGCGTGATCGGGGTGATCGAGTTCTTCTACACCGAGCTGCCCAAGAGCATGGCCAGCTTCAGCATGGCTCTGCTCTACATGGCCCTGGGGGCGGGGAGCCTGGTGGGGAGCTTGATCATCAAGTTGGTCCACGAGGTGAGCGGGCGGAGAGGGAGGACGAGCTGGCTGGCGGAGGACTTGAACGCCGGCCGCTACGACTACTACTACTGGCTTCTCGCCGGCCTTGGCGCCGTCAACTTCGTCTACTTCCTCTGGTGCGGCTGGGCGTACGGCGAGGAGGGGCAGAACGTGGAGTGGGAAGACGAAGGTGAGGGAGAGACGACTATAGCTTAGTAGTTTTGTGCTGAAGCATGCATGTGGATTGCTGGGAACTTGTGACAATGTGGAACCTTTCCTATGGTTATGCTAATATGAAGCCTATGGTTTGGTTGCCCCATGAAAATAGCAGTTTGCAGGGTTGATTCTCTGGACCATACGCAATATCGTCACGTTGATCATCTTTGTCCATTGCAGTGGCATTGGCCAAGGAAAAATATCGGCAACTCAGTTGGCCATTTATTAGAAAACACTATATCTATGAATCTCTTATTTGGAAAATAAAAAACCAAATCTATGAATATATCTCTAGTGTTTTGCTAGAAGTGACTTCCTTTTGGTTTTGGTTATTCAGCAAAATTATCAATGCGAAAAATATTTATTAGCTAACCATTACAATGTCTGCCTTCCTGGAACCACAGCTAAGCTCCTAATAATTTCTTCAGCTCCTTCTTGTTGACCTGATAAAAGCAATAGGTAAGTAACAAACTCAACACAACTGCAAAGAAGAAAAAATTTTCAGCCCGCACCTTTCCCATGGCATTCCGAGGAAGCGAATCCCATAAGTACAACCTCGTAGGAATCTATCATGCATAGAAAAAGAATTAACTCCAGCGGGGAAAAAGATTTCAGTTCGGGATCAGATAAAAGCTAAGCTGTACGTGTTAATATAAGCAAAGGATATGTAAACTTAACCAGAAGTGGTTGAGAAAAACATGAGTCAGGAACCATCCCTTGCGCACGCAAAATATGAATTGAGAACTTCATAGTACTTCCAAGGTAATATGTGTAACTTTTGTGGATGGAGGGAGTATCACGCAACAGTCAAAAGAGAACACTAAAAAAGGCAACCTCACAAATAAGGCCATACTGTAAAGTTGCTAGGGAAAGGGGGAAAACATGTAGAAAATCAAACCTTGTATGGAGCAAGCTTATCTTTTGACCAACTTGTCAGTGCTTCCAAGGTCAGTGCTGGTTTCGAGTCCAGTTCAGCTCTTTTCTTTGAGTCCTCCTTAGGCACAATTATTGCACAGATAATCTCTCCATAAGCTTCGTCAGGTAAGCCGAGAACAGCACATTCCAGGACAATTTCATGCTAAACAAGAAATCAAACCAGAGTAAACAAGATGAGTAACCTTCAACTAAACCATTGGGCTGTCTTCAATTAGATAGGTTTACAAAGTGACTATTGGAAACTATTCAAGTAAAATGGAGATTTTAAGTTTTTACCTTTATTATTGTCTACCTTTATTCTTACCACAAGGAAAGTACTACGTATCAGCAAGTTCTTTCAAGGCAGTACGTTTGCTAATAATGTCTAGTGTGGGGATATTTACCTGTAACAGCACTGACTCAATTTCTAATGCAGACAGCTTATAACCACCAACTTTCATGATGTCAGCATTTGTGCCTACACAGGATAATACAAATGAGACAGATAACCCAAAACGATTACAAATAGACAGTAGCACCACAACTTAAACAAAAAAACACAACTAGTGGAAAACGATGAAGTGGTCCTTACGCCCTAAAATTATGAAATATCCTTCATCGTCTACAGTTACTGTATCACCAGTCTTGAAGAACCCACCATCAATAAATGATTCTGCAGTAACCTGCAATACAAATTAACTGTGCTGAACAACGAAACAAAGACATTTGATTCTCAACATGCACCCTTCATTTGGTTCCTTAGTGGTTAGCAAATTCTGCTAAGTTTGTATGGTGCAGCTTAGAAGTCATGTCAATCACAACACCCACAAAAGGAATGCACCACACTGGTTTCTTATTAAGACACAAATAACAGGCAAGAGCATACCAACAAGTATAGTCCATATTAACAAAGAACAGGCTACAGAGTTGGGTGAAAAAAATATGAAGCAACACTACCCTTTAATTAGCAATCTACAACGAATGGGTTTTAGTAAAATAAGGATGCAACTCATGGAGATTATTTACAAATAAATAATGTACGCAATCAAAATGAAATGTATAAGTTTATTTCTTGTGCATCATTCACAATAGATAAAGGTTGACTGTTGGGAGAATTAGCAAATGATTGTTTTAATTGACGAGGAAAATACTTTATCAATCATAGACTTCATATTTTTGTTTATGAAAACACAACCATACCTCTGGTTTTCTCCAATATTCCTTAAAAAGGGATGGACTTCTAATACAAAGCTCGCCAACTTCAGATGTAGTTTCAGCCCCATCCTCCATAATAATCTTGGCCTGGGAAAGAATGGTTCTGTAAGTGCCATGAGGCAATACAGAATAAATTAGTTTGATGTTATCCTAACTTCCATGGAATCGTTTAGCATACCTCAACACACGGAAGCGGTTTGCCAACTGTACCTTCTTTACGTGCACCATGCAATGGGTTAGACAGTGCCATGACAAACTACAACCAATAAGACTGTCAAAACATGAAAAAATGATATCATATTTATGAAATGTAAGTCCATAGAAAAGGAAGAGTTCGTGTTTTTAACCTCAGTCATGCCGTATCGTTCCAAAAGACGGTGACCTGTCACTTCCTCCCACCGTTTCATAAGTGGGGAAGGAAGGGCCGATGATCCACACATCTGCACCAGTTCATATAATGTTAATAACAAAAATTTAGATAATAATTACATCAGTCCACATTATGATAGTGCTTAATAAAGCCTACAAGCCAAAGAATACTATACATCATTACCTAGAGCTCGAAAAGTTGAATACAAACAAAGTCATTTGGCTTCAGTGCCCAGCAGAATCAAATAAAACACCTAAAATAAATATAGATGCATATTGCAAGCTCACAAAGGCATCATGCAAGAAACTTCATCTGCTTTTCAAGTTATCGTGGTGTTAGAAACCTAAAGTCAGTGAGACCACAGTTATCGGATATATTGAGTCCTGAGGTGCTTAATTAAGTACTTTAGTGCTTGATCGAGCAAGCATGGCCAATGAACCAGTTGGACTTTGCAAGTTGAATAGCAGGATTGAAGGGTTCATGACCCTTGATCTATCTATCGTACTACCATATAACATACATATATTTGCACATTTTCAACAGATAGTAATCAGATTTTGTCCATAGTAACTATCTACTAGTCTTTTCAGGAACATAGTACGGACTGAAACACATGAGTTGTAATTTTGCCTGACGCGTGAAGTTTAGTCTAACCAAGGTCCAAGAATCAATACAATTACTTGCAAGATATATATACAACTGACCATTAGCCTCAATTGCTTTGCAGCAAAGGAAGATGCAGACTGTTGTTCAGGATCCATACCATCATACCCTTGCAATAGCCGTGTGTACATTGTTGGAACCTGGTAGTCCAAAAGTATCGAATAACCATAATGCCTCGAGCAATTTAAGGACAGGTAATAGTTTAGCATAAATCTAAAAAACCAAAAATATATGGCATAGAACCGTACTCCAGTAAATACTGTAATTGCTTCATCATTTTTACTGCCATTGTTGGGATATGACTCACGCCACCTCTGCCATATTCCCCTCACACTAAATTTCGGCATGAACTCAACCTGCAACCTCAGAGAATATATATTAGCATGGAAGAAATTTTGACACAAGATGCATTGTATGTGACTCCTAAAACAAAATTAAAGGCTTAAAGTAACACATCATACGACCAGAAAGGAAACCCAAGTGCTACAAAAGACTGGTTCATTTAAACAAAATCACAACATCAATCGATCAAGTGAAGCACTATGCACATGCTGAATAAAGCATTTGAGATATTAGTAAAAGTAAGGTCAATTACCACTGATCCAGAATAGAGGGGTGCAAATAGAGCATTGAACAGGCCATGAACATGTAAATTTGAAGTTAAGGACCTTAATAAATCTCGCAAAAGAAGGCATGGTTCCTCCAAAAACAATTATAGGGAAATCTAATGCAATCCATTACTATAAAACATTGTGCTAAGTACTTAAAATAGCATTTAGCATTAGCTTTTTGTGGATATGGTGCAGTGGGAGACAGTGCAGAAATTGATCTTCACTTCGATATCCCCATGCCTCTGACAGAATTTGAACCTGCCAAACCACATGAACCACAAATACCTTTAGATCAGTCAAAAGTAGATAAGCAGTATCGTGAAAGGTGGTAAAATATAGAAATAACATCAGTAAAGTGAAAATTGCTAACTTCATTCAGACTGTCCCAAGAGGCATAATCTATTAAAAGTTAGAAAAAAATGCACCTGAGAGACTATCCCCTTATGAGTGTGGACCACTCCTTTTGGTTTACCAGTTGTCCCACTTGTGTAAAGGATGAGAGCAGGATCATCTCCTGTAGTATCAAACCCCAGCATGGTTAGGCAGCTTTGGAATTAATATTGATTATTGAGAAAATCAATGATTGAAAATGACACAAAATACAGTATAGAAAAGTAGCAGCAGAAATCAATAGGTATGACTGCCACGAAAAACAGAATCACTCACCTCTGATTTCCTTTGAACTGTCAATCTCAGCTATTAAGCTAGAAATAGACGAAGTCACTTCAGTACTTGATGGTTCTTGGCAATCTATATTTACTGGTATACTTGTCACAGATGGAAGAAGAGAACAGTGAGCAGAACATTTGGTAGAGATATTCTCCATGATGTCTTGATGCTCCTTGGTGCTTAAAATCAGCGAAATGTCCTATAGGTTTCAGCAGTTAGAATAAAAGGGACATATTTCAAAATTTATAGTAAATTGCAAATGTATGCCCTTGTACAAAAAAATGTTGACTTTGTATTTGTGTAAGAAGGTGTCTAGACTGTCCCCCAGTGGCCCATTGAAGAAATGCTGCTTGCTGCGTGGCCCTTTTTAAACATCTATTTCTAATTTTGGCTCAGTTTACAATATTAAGATGAAAAGAAGTGCATAGCAAGAGAAGTAAACTCGTGATGTGTTTTCCTGGTGTTGCCCCTCCTCTTTTTTTCTTACCTTGCTGCTTTCTCATTGAAACTGGCGTTTTTTTTGGGAGAGAGAGAGAGAGAGAGAGAGAGAGAGAGAGAGAGGTGTGTAGTATGATAGTAGAATGGCATCTTTCTTGTGTAAGTACATCTATTGCAAAAATAAATCACTGCAACAAGTTTTAGAACAAACCGAGTCATTCATGACATGAAGGAGTTCAGCTTCAGGATAGCTAAGTGCTAGAGGCACTGCAACTCCACCAGAAAGCCAGGTTCCAAATATCCCGGCAACAAATTCAGGAGAAGGTTTAGCCACTATGCCAATACGAGCTCCACCAAGGAATCCAGTTCCATTTATTCCTTTGACAGATGAACCTGTACTTCCATTCTGTGTCATCTACAAGAAAAACAGCAGAAGAGGTGATCAGGCATCATCAACAGCCATTGATCAGGTTAAGATAAGATCGTGATAAACATATTATAATCACATAACAGGAAATCTCAAGTGAACGAAGATAAAACAACATACAGAGAAGGAGAGCGGTGGTACATTTTTATTGCGCAGAATATTGTAGACATCCAGTGCAGATGCAATGAGCTGGACAAGGTTATAACTCTTTTGGTCAGATCTGATGGCTGCATGGACACCTTGTGTCGAACCATGCTTAAGGACTTCCTGAACAACCTCCATGAACGTACTAGTAGTATTTTGTGTGGTGTTGTAAGCTAGTAAAACACAAGATGAAAGTTTCAATATCAGAAAATATAAATGCACTAGAATTTACAGTAAAATAGTAATTGCTAATTAATTCATATGGTTCACCGTTCTGGCCTTGCATACCCAATCGGCAGTAGCTCCTCGCGGAACAGACCGAATCAATATAGACCACTAGGTAATCCATAACACCTCTATGAGGCACAACCTTACCGGTGAACTCAATTAAGCACAAACCAGGAAGGAGTGGTTATGAATCGTGACGTATCAATGTCGATGTGATTATCAATGACTAGTTGGAAGTGGCTCGGCTGTTCAACAATAACAATTCACTAATCAGTAACCACCGACCAACCCATGCGTGCTGTACCTACTAGGAATATTGGATATAGAGCTAACTGCATTCTGCGTACGTAGCATCGTAGGACCCAACAGACAGGTTTAGAAGCAAATTCGGACCACTCCTCCATGATAACGCAGATTGTACCACTGATCATCATCGCAGCAGACTCATCAGGTAGCCCTTTAGAAACCCACTAGGACCACTCTTCCATCTCCATGAGGAGAGGACGCAACTTATTCACTGATCAACTCGAGCTCGACCACTTGCACACCGAATCCCTCATCAAAACAACGAAAACGAAGCATGACGGGGCACACCCCGAGAGAACCCGCGGCTGGATACTGCTACTAGGCGAGACACCCCGCCACTGAAGCAAAACAGCGAACACCTCCCGATCGTGAACCCAGAGCACGGAGGAGAAACAGAGTCCCCCCTGAACGAAAACAAAACGCGGGTGCGGCAAAACGACGAACACCTGGCGCGGCAGAAAAAAGAGGAGAGGAAACGGGGAGACTGACCTGGCGAGGAGGAGCGGGAGGAGGAGGAGGAGGAGGAGGAGGCGAAGTGGCGTCGGAGGCGAGAGAGGAGGGAATAAGAGGAGCAGGGGAGGAGGAGCAGGTGGTAGGGGGAGGAGGAGGCGTGGGCCGCGGGGCAATTGAATGGCGTCATCAAGCGCGCCACCGCCCCGCGCACCCACGCCTGTGCGCGCATTTACGGGCAGGCTGTGCCGGGTAGGTGAACTCCCCTGGCCGCGGCACTGTTCCGTGCTCGTACTCGTACCACAGCAGCGGACTGGCGGTAGGTTGCTCGCTCGCTGGTGGCCGCGGGCCGGTGGCGCCCCGCGTGTTCGCGCGAAGGGGGAAAGAGGAAGAGCCGGACGGACGGGGGCACGGGGCCGTCAGTTTGCTCGGTTTTTTCGGTTTTTCCTTTCCTTTCTTTTATTTTTTCCTTCTCCGGCTGTACTGGTTTGGTCGTCGACGGCGTACGTTGGTACGGCTTGTCAATCGACTGCTATCGGCGCCACAGCGTCGTGGTTGTTGTCTGACATTGCAACAACTCAATTTGCTATAGGTGTGGCATGGTAAATAAAGGGGTTGTTTGGTTCTTAACTAACATTGTCACAATGTTAGACAAGTGTGGCTTGCCACACTTTTTGTGTCCTATAAATTGTAAGCCACACTTGTGACAAAGTTAGGCAAAAAAAATTAAGTCTATGACATGCGTAGTAAGATGATAAGAAAGTGTGGCTTGCCATAACTATGGCAATGAACCAAACACAAGACTAAAGATGTGTGGCAGCCTAAAGTGTGGTGTGGCAAGTTGAAGTATTGAACCAAACAGCCCTAAAGTGTGGCCAACAATTTGTTAGCCACAAGTGTGGCAATGTTTGGCTAGAAATTGAGTATATGACATGTAGGCCCATGGAACAAGAAAGTTGTGGCTTGCCACAACTGAAACAAGCAACCAAACGTTAAGCTAACAATCTGTGGCATGTCTAACATGTGGTGTAGTAATATGTGGCAACTAACCAAACAGCCCTAAATGTCTGCTGAAGATTATCAATGTGAGACATACATCTGTTCAGATTTATTATACTAAAATATATCACAGCTAGTCCTAGATTTTTTTTTCAGGATGGAGGGAGTATGTTCTTTCCTTGTTTATCCATATCTCTAATAAAGCGTTCCATTTTTTTTATAAGTTTATTAGTTTAAATTTTTAAGCTATTTTTTAATGATTTTATACTTTAATTCAAATGTATAGTTCTACTCTAATTCACATAAGAAAAAAACCATTTAAACATGCATATCATCATCATTAGTAAGATGTTTTTTAAAATCCTCACCGCTATGCTGGGAGGCATGACGTTGGCCCATTCCTCTCGCCCAATAGGATACGTGTAGCCAAGACCTATATAGAAAGCTAGTGAAGATTGGTGATGGCCTGTACTATCTAAAACTACATACGTGGTTGTACCCCTCACTCGAGGTTGTCTAGGACCTACACATAGTCGGGTACTCGGGTGGAACCATTTGCACGAAGACATTCTGCAAGGTGACACAGTGTGCTTAGGGAAGTCCAAAAGTACCTGCGAGAAGACTATTTGAGAGATGACATGTGGCAGTGATTGAGATAGCCCAAAGGCGCCCACGAGGAAATTGTCCTAGGGACAACACGTGGCGAATGCTCAGGGCAACTCGGGAGCACTCGTAAAGAGATTATCCCAAGAAGCGACGCATGGTGATGCCCGAGCCAGCAGGTACGTTGTGTCGGTATTCTTGACACTCACACATGGTGTGCCCTTGCACTAGGGCGTAGGCTCATGCACGAGAACCCCAATAGGGGAACCACACATACCTATATCCTGACACCAAGGCTCGCATGTCCCATCATTCCATATTAATAAGTGCACTCAAAGTCGGTTGAGGACATTAAATATGGGTGATTCAGTGAATCGCACCTCCCCAAACCATCTTTTCTTTGACCGATCCATTATGTTAAGAGAGAGGCACGGTCAATAGCATGTTTGAGGCGGGGCTGCGTAGCATGACATGGAAGAATGAACAAGGGATAGACGGTATGACAGCAGGTACAGTGTAGATCATGATGTATATCTACAGTACCTTAGCAACGCACCCCCCCTTCCCCCGAGTTAGGTAGACCTTGAAAGGTGTATAAATTGACAAGGGATTGCCAAGAAGAAGGTTGAACACAGTTAGATACACGATAATACACAAAAGCTCTAGGTGCCCCAGATTTAGCCGAACTTCCACATATTAATCAAGAGAACGGGACTACGGGAGTAGATTTATTGTTCTCCGGAGGCCCAAACCTGTATAATTCGTTCGTGTTTGTCAAATCTTGTTCTATCTGCTATTACACGTTGACAATAGCTTTTGACTTAATAGTACAAGGGTGACATATACTTTTTAAAAAATTGTTGGGTCTCTAACATAGAACTAAGGGCATGTTTGGTAGAGCTCCAACTCCTAAATTTAGCTCCAGGAGTTAAGTCTAGAGTGGGGTTGTGGAGCTGCGTAAACCTAGCTCACCTATCTAGTTTATTTTGTGATAGAGCTTCACCCAAACCTGCTCCCAATTTAGGTGGAGCTGAAACTATTTGGCTGGGCTCCAGTTTCAAGAGAGGTGGAGCTGAAGCTAGAGCCGTGCCAAACAAGCCCTAAGACCATTAGGGTTGTTTGGCAGTGCTATTTGTAGCCGTCCTGCAACAACTAACCAACTGAATGCATTGAAGATAACCATGCTACACGGCTATAATGCGGCGTGGCCTGTTGCAGCCAGTGTTCTCGAATAGCCCCATTGTAAATGAATGGATAAGCTTAAAAAAACTCGTGCCTTAGAAATACACGAGTCAACGCCCTTGGCCGTCAACTCAAAACCTTGGTTGAATTATGCCTCTTCTTAGTTGCCACTTTACCAATCACCTCACTTGTTTGTTGGATTATCAAACGTAAACGGAATTTTAAATTCTAAAACTTAATTTTAAGTATACTGGGGATTTTGTTTATTGCAGTCTACTTTCAATCTTAGTGTTTAAACTGCTAATAAAAGTTTCACTTATAAACTATTTTGGTTGTTTTGTTATTTTTTAAGCTCATCAACTGTAGGTGTCTTTACTGTGAAACTTTATGTGTTCCGTATCATACATCTATTCCAAAATACCTTTTTCATATGCGATATCTGAATATACATCACATAGTGCTATCCTAGAAACTACCAGTAGCATTTTTTGAAAAGCAAAATATGTGTCCCATGGCTCAAAATATGCAAGCCTTAGCCCATCCAAAGAAAAGCCTGCGAACCTAATACGGCGTTAACCTCGACGGAATCAACAAGTGGGCCTCAAATGGGCCTTACTGAAACTGACAGAACTGCAAGTCACATCTTTCAAACCCGCCACAAGAGATTCAGCATAACGCACGGTGTACATCCCTTTCATCTATTTACACCAATGACAGGTGGGTACATCACCCGCGCCTGGTCCCACCCGTCATGGAGAATAACAAACCCACCAGCACTTTCCAGAGAAACAAACTCCACGTGTGACAGGACGGATCACATCAACGACGCCGACGCCGCAAGAAGGCCCGATCTCCGGCCCACCCACGTCACCCCACCCACTGGCTGCGCGGCCCCACCGAAAGCTCCAGCGCCCGTGACCCCACGCGTCAGCCGCGGTGGACTCGGCGAGCGACGCGTAACGCGCCCACCTCATCGCGAAGGGCGGAAGCATTCAGCCACCCCCCCACCCCGTCGAATCGAACGGCGAGCGGCCCAACAACCTAACGTCTATGAATTCGAGCCGCAGGATGTGGCCCGGCCGCGCTCCGCCGTCCGATCCCCGCACGCCCCCAGGATCCGGCCGTAGAATATGAATTTGATTTCGAAAGCGAAGAGTGGGAGGAGAAAGAAAGGGGGTGGAGAAAGAAAGAGAGAGAAGAGGGGGAGGAGGAGAGAAGCTGCAGCAAGAGGGAAAATCCACTAATCCCCAACTCGGAGACTCCTCCTCTCTGAAATCCGCCATTCCCTACCCCTCCGCCGCAAACACGCGCGCGTGGGGAGCTCGCGGCGAATCCAGCCTCGCCAGCCCCGGCCGCGCGGGGACGCCTTGCCCCCGATCTGGCGACGGCGGCCGCGATCTCGCCGCGCGCCTCGGCGGCTGCGGCGAATTGGGGGTGGGGGTGGGGTGGAGTGGAGTTTCGATAGGTGTGGCGGGGAGGGAGGGAGGGAGAAGGGGCGGCGTGTTGATCTGGTAGCTTCGTGGGGGTTGGGTGGATTAGATAGATGGCGGGGAAGGAGCAACAGGGGGGAGGAGGGCCGCCGCCGCCGCCGCGGGCGCCGGTGCCCGCGGCGTCGTCGCAGCCGCCGATTAAGAAGCTGGTGAGGCAGCTCGACTTCACCTCGGCGGCGTTGGCGGGTAACCCCGCGATGGCGGCGGCCGCGGCCGCCGTGTCCAGGGCGCTGCAGCCGAGGGCGGTCCCGGTGGGGTTCCCGCAGCCGCAGCAACTTAGGGCGCACCTGCCGGTGGGGGTGCCGCAGCAGCTGCATCCCCGGGGCCTGCCGGTGATGCGGTCGCACCACGTGGTGCATGTGCCGCTGCCGCGGCCGGCGGTGGCCGTGGCGGTGCCCGTGCCACAGGTTCGGCCGGCGCAGCCGCAGCCAGTGCCGCGGCCACCGGTCGCCGTTCCATTGTGAGTGTGCCAGTACCTAGATTTATGTTTAGCATCAAGCTTTACATTTTTACTTCTCAATTGGGTAATTTCTCTCTTCTAACTCCTTTTTGGTGATTCATTTCATCGGAGGAAGACTGTTTTTCTTTTTCTTTTTGTTTGTAAGCCAAAGTTTCAAACTTGGTTTCGATTTTACTTTGCCCTTATCTTTCCTTGGAAATGGAAGGATGGACCCTTTGTTTTTTTTTTTCACTTGCATCTATATTTGATATTACCCTCGTTCTTATTACGATCTTAGTTGATGCAAATTCCCTATTTCTATTTTTTCTCTTGTTATTTTGCGTCATGTTCCAAGATGTTCTTATTGTGCTTTGAATCTGTATTGTAGGAAACCAGAGTCACCAAAGCCACCACGGGCACGGCTTTATGAAGGGAAAGATGGCACCCCGACAAAGAAGAAGTGCTGCAACTGCAAGCACTCCAAATGTTTGAAGTTGTAAGTCAGATTACATGCCTTAGCTTGAAAACGGTGCAATGTTGCAACTGGAGTACCCTTCTGAGTAACTCTAGTCTGGATAACGTTGGATCCAAAAGAGTTTATTTTATTTGCTACAGATGCTAGGACATATGTAAACTTGTAAAGTGAAATTGTCTTGAGTTTCTTTTAATCCAAAAGCTTATATAGATGGATGCTCAATCCTTTTTTTTAATAAAAAGCTGGATGATAATAGCATGGTCCCAAACTTGACCAATAGCATTCACAGTGTGACCAAATACTTGATCTTATGGTATTGTAAGATTTCTCTAGTATATACTTGTCGCAAGTTAGCTGGTCTGGATAATTATAAAATGTTATATTATATATGTATCCGGAAAAACTTATGGGTTAGCTCTGGGCTCTGGCTTTTACCATCTAAGTTCCAATATGCATCCAAAACGATGTATACTAGAAATGTGGTTCATCTGATTCACGGTACATGAACATGATTTGGTTCTGCAGTTTAATGCGTTTCTGTTCGATTTCCACTGTAGACTCAAAACGCATACCTCTGTTGTCTCTGGTACCTCTTTCACTATGCTTGTAAGGTTTTGTGTACTGATAGTTGATATTATCAATCTGGATCTCATGGTTTTCTATGTTTAGGTATTGTGAATGCTTTGCATCGGGTGTTTACTGTGATGGATGCAACTGTTCCAACTGTTTTAATAATGTTAAGAACGAGACTGCTAGGCGTGAAGCTATTGATGCTACATTGGAGCGCAACCCTGATGCATTCAGGCCTAAGATTGGGAGTAGCCCGCATGCTAACCGGAATAATATGGTATGTTTTGAGTTCCATGTCTTAAATGAGTAGTTAGATATACATGCTAAGGGTGTTCAATAATTGATGCCCGTTACTTCTGGAGTATTAATGATTCATACAAGGAATGTCCGTGCATATGGTGCAATCACATGTAATTCTCATTTGAAAATCGAAATGAAGCTATAAACTAATTGAATGCAAATGTAGAACAGGGGAAGGCTTGGGAAATTACACAAGTTCAATGAGGAACTAAATTGCTACTCTCTACAACTAAGAAATTTACAGTTTGGATGCCATATTTCAGTAAAAGGGCATGCAACCTAGTAGTTACAGTGCTCAAGTAGCACCTCTAGGTCCTGGATTCGACTCCCCATGGGAGCGAATTTCAAGCTTAGTTAGAAAAGGTCACTCATTGGCCCCTCATAAAAACGTGTTAAGAATTGACCTATGGAGGACGAGCATGGGTTAAGGACCAATCCATAGGGAGCGAGTCCACGTGTGGGGGGCTGGGTTTAGTGGCCTTTCTCGGTCGGATTGGTTGAAGCTTCTTCTTAATGAAAAGCTGTGAACATGGTCTTTCCCCAACTGGTCGAGTATTTTTTGGATGCCATGTTTCATTTTTGTACATCTCATTATCTGATTTGCCCTGCTATGATGCGTGTACTTAATGTTAGTCCCTGAAATTGCCAGGAGGCGGCTGGTGATCTTCCATTAGTTGGGAAGCATAATAAAGGGTGCCACTGCAAGAAGTCAGGTTGTCTCAAGAAGTACTGTGAGTGCTTCCAAGCTAACATACTTTGCTCTGAAAATTGCAAGTGTATGGATTGCAAGAATTTCGAAGGGAGTGAAGAAAGAAAAGCTCTTTTCCAAGGGGATCATAAAAATTCCATTCACATGCAGCAAGCAGCAAATGCAGCAGTAAATGGTGCTATTGGAGCAGCAGCCTTTTCTTCTCCTTCCGCATCCAGGAAGAGAAAGCACATAGATCCTTCCCTTGACCACTCGGCCAAGGAAAATGGAGCTCACAGGACTAATCATGTACCTCAGGTAATGACAATTTCTAGATTTCAGCAGGCAGTTCAGTTTTTCCCTAATACCTCCGTCTGTGCATACTGCATAGCTTTGTGTTTTTGAGGTATTGACTTCAGTGATGGGTGGAAGTGGTCTGCTCCATCAAAAAAAAATTATTTATACCATGCATACAAGTCATCTGATGAACGGTGTTTCAGATGTGTGGTTCTGAGGGATAGGATAGTTATTGACTAGCGCTATTGCTTTTTTGATCAGAAAGGAAAAGGACTTTCCGTTTGTATCAGTGCCGCACGTTTACAACGACCCACTGTTACATTACATACCCTTCTAATTGACATCCCCATCAGTTTAGCACAACTAACACAATATCTACCTCACTCTTGGGTTTGTACCAGCAATTTATGCACTGGACTGCTCTTTTGAAGGGGCCAACAACTGTACTATAGATAAATTTTGAGTTATTAGTTCTCCGTGATACAGAAGTGGTAACTCCTCATATACTGCTACTTATAAATGAGTATGCAAATATTTTCTTGAGGGATACAAATTCCTCTACAACAGATTCACCAAAAAATTGGACTAACCCAGATAATCATAAGCTGCTAATAGCAAGAGTTATTTCAGGGTTCTGGTAGGGTTTTTTGTATACTCTTTGTGATTTAATTAGGTTTTTTATCAGAAGAATGGAATGCCATCCGATGGCCCGCTTCCAATAAACCAGCCTGTGCATCCTCCAACATTGGGGCCCTTTAAGGTCACCTACAGGTAACTGTCAACTTCTATCACTTTTCCTTGAGAAGATCAATCATACCTGTTTTTGTTGATGGCTTTGTACCCTTCCATTATAGGCCTCTTTTAGCGGATATTGTCCAACCAGGAGACGTAAAGGAACTTTGCAAGCTTTTGGTGGTTGTATCTGGAAATGCTGCAAAGGCATACGCTGGTATTGCTGGTCTTACATTTTGGGATTTTATTAATTTGCTTGAGAAAGTATTCATGGGCATCCTGTGCTGCACATAACTTAATCTTTGTTAGAGGCTTAGAGCCATTCAAACAACTTGCATTAATCTGCACATCCTTGTTTCATTTTACCATTCCAGATTCAAACTATGTTTTACTTTTCTTGAAAACTAAGTTGCACTAGCACATAAGCTTTTAGTTCAACTCTCATCTTTTCTTGGGCTTGGATTTTGGATACCTACGCAGTGAAGATATTTAACTATTTGCCACTCTTAGATGCAGCATTTAACAATTTGCCACATGGGCCCACATATCTTAGACAAATGAGGGCCCACATATCATAGACACATGAGTGGCAAATTGTTAAACGGCAAATCTAAAAGTGGCAAATAGTTAAATGCCCCATCTGTTGGTCACTTTGAAGAGAGAAAAAACCCAACACTATAGGGTTCCATGTGCTGCTTCCTCTCCATTTTTTGTATTTCAAATAAATGGTTTTATAAGATTTCTTTTGGAACCCTAAATGAATATGAAGCTATTCCAGGCTTGATTTGGTGCATGATGCATCCCATTAACACCATTCTGTAACTTCCAATGTTATCAGGGTTAATGTCTTTTCCCTGTTGAAACCATGCTGTAATAGGCGTGATGGTTTTATCATAGTTATGCTTGATGTTTTTAAATGATAACCAAGTCTTTATTAGCATGTTTTATGTTTGTTAATATAAGGCATGACCACATTCATACATTGGGAACTGTCTCATTGGGAAACAGGTAAGAAATCCCAGGATAAGGTGGTAGAGAAGGAAGATGAGATGGGAGGGAAGAGGGAAGGTGAGATTGGAGGTTCCCTAGCATCGACAAACCATGACAGAGAAGAAAACAATAATGATCCAAATAATCAAAAGGCATCAGCTGATGACCCATCAACTGGAGGAACTCGTGCAGGCAAAGCTTCTCTAGAAGAGTCTAAACATGATTGCAATGATGATCAGAAATCCAATAGGCCAATGTCTCCAGGAACACTAGCATTGATGTGTGATGAACAAGACACGATGTTTATGACTTCCCAAAATGTAGTTCCGCAGCAGCCAGCACCTGTCAACCAGAACCAGTCTGAATTGTATGCAGAACAAGAAAGGTGTGTGCTTACAGAATTCCGTGATTGTCTCCATAAGCTTGTGACATTCGGAAGAATGAAAGGTACATCGAAATTTCCCATGTGTCATGCTAATACAGAATTATTGAACTTCTCCATTTTTTGCTTTGTAAAACGTGTACAGTTTGATCCTGATGGTTCTTCCTTGCAGAGGAGAAGTTTTCCATGGCAATCAAATCTGAAGTGCCTGCCCATCCCATGCAGGCGAATGGTGTTTCACGAATACCTTATTCAAAAGAAGTAGATGTACCTGTTGTAAAAACATTTCTACAGAGTTCCAGTAGACATCCTGCTGCTGGAAACTCCGCAACTGGGCATTTGGACAAAAAACCCAAGCATGAAAATACATAGGTGTCCGGGGTTTGTATTTTGGGTAGCATGGTCAAGAGAATCATGTTTTCTCCCTCTAACATGTTGATCAGAAGCTTGTATCAGTCTTCATTCTTGTCTTAGGTTCAAGAAAGCTCCAATTTGTTCTCATTGGTAAAAATAAGTGTAATGTTGGATAGTTAGCTTAGTCATAAATATGCATTTAGCCTTTATCTTAGTGTCTACATTGTTTGTTCCTTTACCTTTACCATTTCCCTCGTGAAATTTTGCCAATCACCATGCTAGTATTTTAGATGAGATTATTCCACTTTACGCGATTAATTCATATTGGTTGTGGCTGGTTGTAAATGGTAATAGTTCCAGACTGGTTCACCTACGCTTCAAACTTTTTGTGAAAGTGTGAAGCCATACTTCATCCTATTGGCAACTACCAGAATTGCAGAATTGCAGAACCATCTTATCTCCAAATTTGCCTTCAGTTCATACTGTAACACTCTTTTCCGATGAAGTTATTCCGCTGCAATGTGCCGCAAAACATGGATGCATATGAGTACTGGAAAGTGGAGACGTCTATTTCATGGATTTATCCTTCAATATCATATCGATCAGCCGCAATTTTCTGTTGAAAATAATGCAGGGAGCAGGGATCAAGAAAGACTTTTTTTTTCTATTAATAGAACACTTGATATCACTCTATCCTGTACATGAAATGGACATTGCTTCTTGAGTGGACAATGGCGAAAACAAGCTTCTCACATTTTGCACATACAGTTAAATATTCATTGGTTTCTCCAGGCCTGAAGAAAGCGAATCACGACGGCAAGAGTTAAGGCTGCTTGTGCTCCATTTTCGCCTCAAATTACTGCCCCAAGACGCGAGATACGGAACTCTTGATGTTGTTCAGAAACTTTTCCCTGCAGAAAAACAACTGGGCTAGTAAAGAAAGTGCAACAAAAGAAACTCTTCAACTATGGTGCTCAGAACGATAATACAGATGTCCCGAGCTGCATTATAAAGTGTCAGTACGGTGCCAGTTCAATATATATCCAGTATTCTCAATGATGCAGGTATGCAGGCATAGTGCAGCAAACCAAAAAGAAATTGACGTTATGTTGTGTGTAAATGTGAAAGTTCCATAAAACTTCATCGTAAAGTATATCAAACTATCAGTATCTTCTCATCAATGATTCAAAAAAAGTAAGATCTCTAAGGGCTTGTTAATGATACAAAGCAAGTTAGATCTTTCAAGCTTGGAAGCATCTGCTATGTAAATATACAGAAATGGAGCCATTTCTCAAACAGATCCATGTAAACTTTTGCAAGTGTGATATATGGCGATTACAAAGTTACCTGTCTGGCTTGAATAGTAGGTTTTGATATATGAACAACTGCAAAGAGTTCAACAGTGAAGATTCATAAGATTAGAAAATATAATTCATAAAGGAGAATAGTCGCTGCCTAAAACTTACCCATGCAACCAATATGCCAATTAATTCAAAGAGTAGAGGGAGAACAGGAAGCTTGTCGATGACCTGAAGTTGATTTATTGTATTATCATGAAAACGCTCTTATTCCAACAATCGAAAAACTGCACATTTGAAGCTAGATCATCTGGAAGTTACCTCTACAAGATTTATAGAAGCCCATAATGCGGCAATCCCTGCAAATCCTATACCAGCTAGAGCAAAGAGGTCTTCAGGACTGCTGAACTGTTTCAGTTTTTTTTCAGGAAACAAAAGTATGATGAGAACCTCCATACATAATCAGGTGCCTCAAACACAATTCAGAACAATTTATGGTATCAAGTTGTCTTCAGTGCATAATTACTCCAGGTAAAGTAGCAGACTGTGAAAGCTGATCAGAAGCGTAAGTGCGTACAACGAAGCTTTCTGAACTTGCGTCAGAAAAAAAAATTGCCAATGTCATCAGGGTTCCTGAACTTACTATCTACCTCAAAGCTCAAATTGATTAGTAGAGATAAAAAAAACTCACCGAACTCTGGACATACTTCACAACGCTCCCGGATGACGGTTCTGAACTGTCCTGCGCAGCCTTTGCAGCGACGACATTGCGACTCCTCATCCTCCCTGCATACGAGCACATTAGAGCACATGATACTCAATGGCTCGTTTGCAAAGAAACAACAATATAAAAAGAAGTGCAAGAGAAGGTTGAGATTGATTGGGACCCTTGGAGGAAATTAAAAAGAAAAACACCTGAAACAAATCTGGTGCTTGGCACTGCAGGCAGCATGGGGAGATTCCCGGTGATGCTCTCGCTGCCGCCGCGCGGAACGAGAGCCGCAGGCCGAGCAACGGCGAGAGCAGAGGCCATCGCGGTTAGCTTCCCCCGAGAATACGGTGGAATTGCGGAGGTCGCGAGCGGTGGATATTGGGAAGAACTACTGCTTGGCCTTCGTCTGCTGCAGCGGATGCGAGTGGAAGGCTCCTCGTCCACGAAAGCACCATCGGTTGGCAGATTTGCAGATTGCCCCTTGCCTTCTGCAGATATTCTGATTAATTTCCATTCTACGAGTATTACTGTACCGCCTGCCTGTCCGGGAGACCGGGGAAGTTCACGCTGGGATACAGCTTCAGATTTCGCTAGGTTTATAGTGACTGACTAGTGACACACAGATGTTTCAGTTTGTATCTTTTTTGGAGTATATTAAAAAACTAAACCGTCACAACTTTTTTAGTAAAAACATTCAAATGTGTTGACTTTCTTTTTAATTGCTCGAACCGAAGGTCCTGAGCTTTGTTTTTTGCTTCACACTTATAAAGTTTACTCCTCCTCTATTCAATGAAATTGGCAGCTTACCGATTCGTTAAAAAAATATAACTACAATATAATTAAAGTATAACTACATTGCAATTGTATTGTAAATACGATATAACTTATAAAACTCGTATTCAACTTATGATTTGATTAGCTAACGTTGAGATTTTACGCGTGATATGTGTGAACATTTCTTTCTATTAAATCCATTTTTTTTTCCTTTATTTATACTACGAGCGCTACGTAACTGGAATCTGTACGATAATGACAAACCAGCACTGCTGCAAGCTCCCCTGTAACTCTGCATAATACTGTAGAAACTAAACGAGCAGTAAACAAACATCGGATTCCTTAACTTACATCGGGGTCGTACAATCGACGGCGAGCTTTAACCAAAATTCTCGCGGAAGAGAGAATCTGTCTGTCCGAGACCACCTGCGACTGAGGCTGTGATCCCTGTGGCACCGGCAGGACGGCAGTACACGCCCCCCCGTGACCCCGCCCGCGCACAGGCGCAGCGTGGCGCCGTCCAAGCGTTCGAGTCTCACTCACCTCCACCACCTCTCGCGCCCCCACGTTCCTCGGACTAGCCGCGGTGTCGCCTCTGTCCAGCTCGGTTGCTTCGCTACGCGTCGCTCGCTGCTGCCACCGCGCCCCGCTTGATAGATTCGAGCACGCACGCCGGGTTGGCGCTCGGCGCCGCGCCGCGCCACGGAGGGTGTCACGAGACCGCCTGGCGCGCACAGGCGCAGCCCCCCGTGTCGTCTTCCTCCCTGGTTCCTTCTTGTCACCGGGACGGGCGAACCTCTTTCCCGCGCGTCTGCACATGCCATTTTCAGCTTCCATCATCACCATCACTACTATTCACTACTTGGCCTAGTAGCGACCGAGCAGTGCCCACTCCGTTGCTGCCTGCCTGCCTGTCCGTCCTAGCTAGCATCCTACGCTCGCGTGTAGAGAGGGTGAACTGGCGAAGGGCTGAGCAGAGAGATGGAGGTAGCAGAGGCCGGCGTCGACGGCGTGGCGGGGAGGCGGCAGCAGGAGGAGGCGTCCGGCGCGGCGCCGTTCGGCAGGTCCTCGTCGCTCATCGGCGCCGCGGGATTCGACGGCGCGCTGAGAGTTGAGCACTTGTTTGGCTTCTTGCCTTCTTCCCCGATCGTGTCTCCCGTGTGCGTTGTGTCTCTGACCTTGAACATTTGGGCTGGTCTTGTGATCCGCAGGAGCTCAAGGACCTTCGCTCCCAGCTGCACCAGACGGCGGACTGCTGCGAGAAGGCGTTCCTCGACACCGAGAAGAAGAAGCTGTCAGTGCAAAGCTTCAGCTATCACATTTAATTATACACTTCTCCCGCCACTGTTTTGTTTCTCTCGTGCCTAACATGTCCTCTCACTTGCCACTGTTTTGCTTGAAGAATTCTGGAGAGCACGAAAGGTTACATCTGCGACGCGATTGTAGCGGTGATTGATCATTTGGGGACCGTCTCATCCAAGCTCGAGCAACAGCTGCAGGAGAAGATTGAGATCACACAAACAGAGAAAAAGCTCAACTTCTTGAAGCAGGTCAGGACATCCGTCGACTGAACCTATTTTCCGTGAATTTCGCATGACAATAAGAGTCAGTGTAGTTACAGAAAATAGCACTAGTAGCTCGCAACATGACTAGTAGCTTGAACCATTTCAATGATGAAGAAGTAGTTGAAAGAAACAGAGTACTCACTGCTTAAATGCTTAGTACTTTAGTATGATTAGGTAACTTAGCTCATTATCTAAAAAAGGCAAGTGAAGATCCTGTACTCCTTCAACTTTTTCCGTTCTTTGATTCAGGGATAACTTTTCCGTTCCAATTTCAAGAAGTTAGTGTAATAGATTTTGAAAGTGAACGGTTCATGGTTACTGCTGATGAACATCGATCAAACGACACTTTAGTACTGCCACTTATTTTAATTTTTAGTCTCTTCATGTTCATGGTACCAGAGGCTCCTGACATGTGAACAGTATGCAATTACTCTCAAACTATTGACCGTACGTGGGGACAATGATGCCATTCAGTATCATCGCCGTTACCTCTCGCAATGTAAATTCTCTAACTCATTTGATTTTGTGTTGTCGCCATTACTTCTTATAAAAAAAAGGGTTGCTGATATGTGGTCATTTGGACAGCTTCAACTCTGTTATCATTGACTAACTATATTATTCACTACAGCTACTGGAGGAACCAAAGAGGAAAATGGTGCTAACTCCAGGTTTATGCCAACTAAAATTTTCCTTTGATCATTTTACTATTATAGCATGTGACCTGCATCATATCGATTTATAACATTAGTAGTTCTGCACACAGGAAAGATGATGTAAAATTTGTGGAGTACAACAGCCCAACCATACCTGGAGCAATTCTTACTTTCAAGCCATATGATATTCAGTCAACCATTGGTAAATTCGGTATCTTGCTCATGTTATGAAGATATGTATGCTTATTATTGTTTTCAGTGTATGATATACATTTCTCATTGATTAGTACTCCTTACTATCTTCAATTTAAGAACTAGGAAGTAGTAACTATGTAAATCTGTTTTTTTTTACAAGTAACTATGTAAATCTTAGAAGAAATGTTATATGAAATTCTGATATGTTTCTGATGAGATCATAATTGTCTAGTTTCCTTGTGTTATGAACTTGAAGAAAATTGTGAAGATCCCTAATCAACATGTATTACGTAATGACACAAACTAACTGATAGAGGAATCTGTACATTTTTTTCTCCTAAGTGTGTATGTTTTATGCATGGAATAGATTTGTCATCAACCTTCTATAGACTATAGTTTACCACAGTTATAGTTTTGTTTTCCGTATAATAATAGCATTTGCATGTTATCCCGAGTTATGTGTTAAGCTTTCTCTCTTGATATTTGTGGTAGATTGACTGTTTGTTTATTTTCATGATGTTGTTTGTCTTTAGGGAGAGAACGTTCGGTGGCAACTACAGACTCTGAAAGCCCAACAACGGATGCAAAGAGTTCATTCTCTTTCAGAGCAGAGGTATTCTCTTTAAGAGCAAAGAGCTCCTTTTTTTTTTCAAATTAAAAAATATGTTTTTAAACATTATTTACTTTACCAAATCAAAACGCTGGCGAATAGTTTCATACTAGCCAGTTAGCGTGCTACCCTTTTTGTGACAATTTAGCATAACAAGATGCCCGTTTGCAGGACGTTCCCATTGTTCTAGCTGAACACAGGAAGAAGGCAAATCATGGCAGCAATATCTTGTCATTTATCAGGAAAGGTAGACGGCATGCGTAAGAGCCAAAAGCGCCACCGGAATAGCTCGAGACTGGATATATGCACGCATACTTTAATGAATTCAGTATTGATTGGCAACAATGTACAACCTAATATCACTGAATCCCCAATTTCTGTCAAACCAGTGTCCATTGACCATCATGTATGTTTAGCTTTGCATTTGTGCCAGCAGTAAATTCGGCCCGATCATCCTGAACATGTAACAAACTTGAAGGATCGAGCAGTAATATCTGCTTGGAAAGCTAGTTTTTCTTCCCCTCTACAAACTCTCAATATCATGTAACAAACTTTAATCTGTCTCCTTATTATCAATGACAAAGATTCAGGTGAGGAATCTCTCCCCTCCGATGACTTCGTAAAAAGGAAACCTGAACACGAATTCAGCAAATTCTGCATCATCAAGGAAAAATACATGTACGTTCAGTACTTCAGGGCATCTTTTCCTTTGTGCTTGAGAAATCAACTCCCGAATCCCGATATATCATATATATACATGCAGTAATTCTCATAACGGTGTGAATCAACTCTCGTACTGTACTGTGGCGTGCTACTACTAGTAGTAGTATAAAGGAATTTCGCTTTTTACGCGACATTCTTGAGGGTAGCTGGCCCATCATAGGACTAATTAAAAGCACTCGCATAACTACTAATTAAGTAGTAAGCTCCTGCCACAAGCTATGCCAATTCGATGAGCCCGCTCAACATCATATCGATCGACCGGCTCACGCATTTCATTCAAGAAGCACCGTCCGGTTGCATGAACGCCCCGCGCCGCGCGTACGTAGATAACTACCATTCAAATCCCTAACTGCCTGTCTGCCATTTCTCTCCATCTCGGTCTGTAAAATGCCATGTATCTAGTACCAGTAGAACAGTTGTACTACCTCCTGATGGTCTCACGTAACTTCTTTGTTCCCTTTCTCTTCAATTACGCCATTGCCGTCTTGCCCGGTCGATCAACCCTAGCTTTCTAAGCCCTACAAAAGACAGCATCCATCTGCTAGTGTTAGCTTAGCCTTCAGAGTTCAGAGAGAGATGGGGACCAACCGGCCGCGGCCACGAACCAAGGACTTCTTCGCAGCTCCGGCGCTCTCCCTCACACTGGTTCGTCACATCGTTCTATCGACGGCCCGATCTTTATGTAGATCATTTTGTCTGAAATTTTCACCTAATCACCTGTGTGCTTGTTTGTGTTTATGTACGTGCGTAGGCAGGCGTGTTCGGCCGGAAAAATGGACCTGCGGCGTCGGGTGGAGACGGGGTGGAGGAAGGCGACGAGGAGGTGCAGGCTGCAGGCGAGGCGGCGGTGGAGATCAGCAGCGAGAACGCGGGGCCGGGGTGTAGACAGTCCCAGTCCGGCGGTGGCTCCGGGGAAGACGGCGGCCATGACGACGACGACGGAGAGGGTAGTAATAAGAAGAGGAGGAGGAAGAACTACCACAGGCACACCGCCGAACAAATCAGGATCATGGAAGCGTGAGAATTTCCTCCATTTCTGTTGCGTGAATATCAGCGTCAGGTGTTTCCTGTCCCCTGGGCCGCGGGTGAAAGGGGTGCTTCACCAGGCCCATGGATCAGATAGGGCCAGGCCCAGAAAGGATGAACTTGCATGAGAGGGAGATTTTTTTAGTTTAAGCAAGCGTTCCAGTAGTTCCTCAATGATCTGACATGAAAATATTTTTCAAAATGGAATTTTGTTCTGAATCGGTTGAATGAGCAGGCTATTCAAAGAGTCCCCACATCCGGATGAGAGGCAGCGGCAGCAGGTCAGTAAGCAGCTCGGCCTCTCTGCACGCCAGGTCAAGTTCTGGTTTCAGAACCGACGAACTCAGATCAAGGTTAATTACTAGCGCTCAGTCTTAACTATACCAGTGTGCTCGTCCCACCGATCAACAGCAAACAGCAAATGAATCATGAATGCATGGGGATTTTGATCTGTGCAGGCGGTTCAGGAGCGACACGAGAACTCGCTGCTCAAGTCCGAGCTGGAGAAGCTCCAGGACGAGCACCGCGCGATGAGAGAGCTCGCCAAGAAGCCATCTCGCTGCCTAAACTGCGGCGTCGTGGCAACCTCCAGCGACGCCGCCGCCGCCGCCACGGCGGCGGACACCCGTGAACAGCGGCTGCGACTCGAGAAAGCCAAGCTCAAAGCTGAGGTTTGTATGCCGCCGCCGCGAAGCCGCGCCCGTCCTTTCCGGTGCGCTACACTGCAAGACACTGACTCCGGCGAACTGGCGATGTTGAACTTGTTTCAGATAGAGAGGCTGCGAGGGACGCCAGGAAAGTCCGCCGCCGATGGAATCGCCTCGCCGCCGTGCTCCGCGTCCGCGGGCGCCATGCAGACGAACAGCAGGAGCCCGCCGTTGCACGACCACGACGGCGGCTTCTTACGCCACGACGACGACAAGCCGAGGATCTTGGAGCTGGCCACCCGTGCGCTGGACGAGCTGGTTGGGATGTGCTCCTCCGGCGAGCCTGTGTGGGTGCGGGGCGTCGAGACCGGCAGGGACATTCTGAACTACGACGAGTACGTGCGCTTGTTCCGCCGCGACCACGGTGGTTCCGGCGATCAGATGGCCGGCTGGACGGTTGAGGCTTCCAGGGAATGTGGACTAGTTTACCTTGACACGATGCATCTTGTGCACACTTTCATGGACGTGGTATGTGCATGGCGATATGCCGATATTGTGAACACACGGACACTAGCTCATACATGCATACACCTTGCATGATTTTTTTTTTTGTGCAGGACAAGTGGAAGGACCTATTCCCTACCATGATCTCAAAGGCAGCGACGCTGGAAATGATCAGCAACCGCGAAGACGATGGCCGAGACGGCGTCCTGCAACTGGTGACCCGTCTTGTGTCTCTCTGCTTCTGACCGACGAAATTCATAGTGCTAAACGTGTCATACCTTGCTCGATATGGTTTCCAGATGTATGCAGAGCTTCAGACACTGACACCAATGGTGCCCACGAGGGAGTTATACTTCGCCCGCTACTGCAAGAAGCTGGCCGCGGAGAGATGGGCGATCGTCGACGTGTCCTTCGACGAGTCTGAGACTGGCGTCCACGCGTCGTCGGCGGTCAGGTGCTGGAAGAACCCATCCGGCTGCCTCATCGAAGAGCAGAACAACGGCCGGTGCAAGGTATATACGTAGAACACAGTATGGTTCAAGCTGGCGTACGGCCGTTTCAACTTTCAACCAAATCTCTGCACCGTGGTTTGACTAGATGACCTGGGTGGAGCACACCAGATGCCGCCGGTGCACGGTCGCGCCGTTGTACCGGGCGGTCACCGCGAGCGGCGTGGCGTTCGGCGCGAGACGCTGGGTGGCCGCGCTCCAGCTCCAGTGCGAGAGGATGGTCTTCGCCGTGGCGACCAACGTTCCAACGAGGGACTCGACCGGTAAAACCATTACTGACACGTCGCATGCAGCGCCGCGTGATCCATCATCATCCATGGCCGTCTCACGGATCTCTCCCGTACACAGGGGTCTCCACGCTCGCGGGCAGGAGGAGCGTTCTGAAACTGGCGCACCGGATGACGTCGAGCCTCTGCCGCACCACCGGTGGATCGTGTGACATGGCGTGGCGCAGGGCGCCGAAAGGAGGCAGCGGCGGCGGTGGCGACGACGACATCTGGCTGACGTCCCGGGAGAACGCCGGCGACGACCCTGGCGAGCCGCAGGGGCTGATCGCGTGCGCCGCGGCGTCGACGTGGCTGCCGGTGAATCCGACGGCTCTCCTCGACTTACTGAGGGATGAATCACGGCGACCAGAGGTGAGCCGCCGCTGCGCGCATTTCAACTTACCCTGCATGCACATTATGCACACTCTGACTCACTAATCAAATTGTTGTAGTGGGACGTGATGCTACCCGGAAAATCTGTTCAGAGCCGCGTGAATCTTGCAAAGGGGAAGGACCGTACCAACTGCGTCACCGCCTACGTAAGCTAACCTTCCCTGGCAGCTACATGTGCATCTCGTCGACACGTACATTATTGCTTTCCTTCGGATGGATGAACTGCAGGCCGCTCGACCGGAAGAAGAAGAAGAGAGAGGCGGCAAGTGGGTCCTCCAGGACGTCTGCACCAACCCCTGCGAGTCGACGATCGCGTACGCGGCGATCGACGCCGCCGCGCTGCAGCCGGTCATCGCCGGGCACGACTCGAGCGGCGTGCACCTCCTGCCGTGCGGATTCATCTCGGTGATGCCGGACGGGCTCGAGTCCAAGCCGGCGGTGATCACGGCGTCGAGGAGGGGAGGCGAGGCTTCGGGGGCCGGATCGCTGGTTACCGTGGCGTTCCAGGTCCCGGCCAGCCCGTCGGCGGCGGCGGCCACGCTCTCGCCGGACTCGGTGGAGGCCGTGACGGTCCTGGTCTCCTCCACTCTGCGTAACATCAGGAAAGCCTTGGGGTGCGACTCGTGCGAGGAGGAATTCTAGTCCACGGGACGCGGAAATATTCTACTCCTACTTCGGATTCGTTATTCGTATGATACTCCACGACTCCACGTGACCATGTTTGCAAAGTAAATTTGCATCGTGACTTACCATGAACATAAGTGTACAGCTAAAGGGATACTCGTACTATAGAACTACACGGTACTGTAAAGTCAACAATTAAGCGTTAAAAATCCCCCGTCTTGCAGACTTCTTTATGGTCACCGCAACTAGCAGAGAGCCGTGCCATGGGCGGTTTCTTGGAACTCGATCATATCCGTTGCAATGGAACGCAACAAAACGTAAAGACCAGCCCAAGACGTAATGATATCACGTCTCCACACCGATGACGTTGGGCCGCTGCGTCGGTGAGCCCGTATCATCTTCTACAAATCCGACCACCGCGTCGCTCCTGCTCGGCACGTCGTCGCCGCCGCTTCCCAAATCCCTTCTCCCTCTCAACAATTTTGCGTGCAGCGCTGGTAGCAACAGTGCACAACTAGGCTGGTCAAAGGTGTGCACGGTGGTGAAGACAGGATTTAGTGATAGGGGGTGCTGGCTACGAGATGTAAGAACTCACCAGCTCCTCGGTAAACCTCTCGGTAGACAATGGTGTGGATCTTGATGGCTCAGTTCATGCTGAGTAGCAGATTGGCCTCACCTCACCTCTTGTTCGCTCTAATATGCGTAGTCGCCAAAAGAATCATTTTTTAAAATTAGGCAACTAAATAGCACCAATTTTACAAAATACATGAATGACAAGACATCATTTCTATTCATCCTTTTTAGTTTTGGAGACTTGCAACCACATCGCTTAGTTACGTTAACTCAGGTAATCACGTAAAGCTAAAATCTATTGGTCAGTTATGTATAGGCTCAACTTGCAACTAACTAATGAGTTAATTGTATGGATTAGATGCCTAATCACCCGGGGGGTTTGCAGTGCATGGGGATGGGGGTGTCAGGCCCACCCCGGCACCCCCGGTGGCTTCGCCACTGGGTGTGCACACGAAAATAAAAACTCAAACACAATAAAAATTCGTCTAAAAGCAGGATAAAAAGAGATAAAAAAAGAGAGAGAAAAGCAACGGACTGCAGAACTATAGCCAGCTGCAGCATGAACTCCAATACGTAATGTGCGTATGACAGGTGGGACCAGGTATCTATCTATTATATAATTAAAGGAATAGAAAAAGGAGCATCCACGTTCGCTTTCATGGTCTAGAAATTCTCTTATTAATCGGAGAAAAAGAAAAGGCAGAGTCCATATAGAAATACAATTTGAAAATAGTTGAAATTTGGAATTAAAAATAAGGAATATTAGAAGATGAGACTAGAGTCTATATAGAAATACAATTTAGAAATAGTTGAAATTCGGAATTGAAAAATAAGGAATATTAGAAGAGGAGACTAGAGTCCATATAGAAATACAATTAGGAAATAACTGAAATTCGGAATTAAAAATAAGGAATATTAAAAGTAGAGTATAGATTCCATATAGAAATACGATTAGGAAATAACTGAAATTTGAAATTAAAAATAAGGAACATTAGAAGAAGTAGAGTATAGAGTCTATATAGAAATATAACTAGTAAATAATAGAAATTCGGAATTAAAAATAAGGAATATTAGAAGTAGAGTATAGAGTCCGTATAGAAGTACAATTAGGAAATAACAGAAATTTGGAATTAAAAATAATGAATATTAGAAGTAGAGTATAGAGTCCATATAGGAATACAATTAAGAAAATAATAGAAATTCGGAATTAAAAAAATAAGGAATATTAGAAGTAGAGTATAGAGTCCATATAGGAATTTAAAACTAACTAAAATTCGGAAAAAAAAGAGGCCTCCACGTTCGCTCTCCTGGCCTAGAAATTCTCATATTAATCGGAGAAAAAAAAGCAGAGTCCATATAGAAATACAATTTAGAAATAACTGAAATTCGGAATTAAAAAATAAGGAATATTAGAAGAGGAGACTAGAGTAGTTATTACACATTAGTAGTTTCGTAAAGTTATTGCAAAATTTAAAATTATGTTGTCATTGTAATATATTTTAATAATATAATGAGAAAACATATATACTATTATATGAGAGAAAATATAATGATGCTAGCCGCGCAATCTGCGCTGGCCACCATGCTTGTTAATAGTATAGTAAGCAACTATTGTATGAATTGACTATTATATTGGCTATGGATGATTTGTAGTTAGTAGTTGGCTATACTATTAAACTTGCTCTAAATGAAGTTCTCCAATTTGTGTGTTTAGTTCACGTCAAAATTAGAAATTTGGTTGAAATTGGAACGATGTGACGGAAAAATTGGAAGTTTATGTGTGTAGAAAAGTTTTGATGTGATGGAAAAGTTGGAAGTTTGGCTGTATTTATTCCACACCATAATTGAAAGTTTGAATAAATTAAAACGATGGGATAAAAAAATTGGAAGTTTATGTGTGTAGAAAAATTTAATATGACGGAAAAGTTAAAAATTTATAGAACAAGATTGGAATCTAAACAGAACCTTTGTTTAAAGAGTTTGGAAATAAACTCGGCCTTTGTCGCAAAATTTCGGGCCTTACCTCGTGGAGGCGTGGAGCTGGCCCTTGCCGCCACGGTACGCTTTCCCTGACGGATCGGGCCAAGCTGCCTATATAAAAAGTCGTCGTGCCACACTGCCACGGGCCACGGCACCACCATCGAACAAAGAATAGCGCGCACGCATTCGCCTCGACGCCGCATACTCGCGTCCACGAGCCCCGCGAGAAACAGCTATCCACGTCATCCGCGGCGGCCGCCCGCCGTTTTCCCTTTTCCAGGCGCGACTCGGCGGCCGCACCCGGTTGCGCACGCCGCTCCCCCCCCCCCCCCCCCCCCACGCCACGCTCCCCCGCCTCGTTTCCCCCGCGCGGCCGCGCCAGAAAGGGGAGAAACGCTTCACGCGCGCGGCGCACCCTAGCTTGGGCCACGATGCCATCCGCTAACGTGCGCGGGGCGCAGCCTAGCGCCGACCGCAGGTTAAGTACGCTGGTGCGCCACCTACTGCCTTCCTCCGCACGAACAGCAACCACCACCAGCACCTCCTCCTCCGCCGCCGACGCCGACTCCTCCCTCCAAGCTTTCCCCACCATGGCGTCGTCGTCCGTCTTCGCTGGCCTCGCGCAGGCGCCGGAGGACCCCATCCTCGGGGTAAGATCCCCCTCTCGTCTCCCAATCTCACTCCCGCTCCCCATCGCTGTCTTCACCGGTTTCGGCCGTGATCGCGCGGTTTTTTGGGTTCGCTCGACCTGATCGGTGCTCCCGTTGGTGTTGTGGTAGGTGACGGTCGCGTACAACAAGGATCCCAGCCCCGTGAAGGTCAATCTCGGCGTCGGCGCCTACCGGACCGAGGTAAGGTGTTTTGGGGGAATTTCTATTGATTTTTTGCTCCTTCGTATTTTGGATTGGATTGGTGGTGGATTTGACTTCGATTTTGTGGTCTGATCGGAGTAGGAAGGGAAGCCCCTGGTGCTGAATGTGGTCAGGCGCGCTGAGCAGATGCTGATCAACAACCCGTAAGTCTGATTTGAAAACCAGATGATCCGCATGATTTCGGACCTGGGAATTTTTTTTAGGCTGGCTGAGTGTACAGATTCCGTGTTCAACTTGCCTCTAGATCTAACCTGTAGATAATACGGTATACTCCACCTAGCTTGCAGGTTATGTACTTTTTTTGCGAACGCTTGCAGGTTATGTACTAATAATATATTAGTATTTGGCACCATTCTTGCTTTGAATCGTCCGGCTGACTTATTTTATTCTACGAAAATAATTGTTGACCTTTGGTCTTTTAGTGACCTTTCCTGCTCTACCTACCTGTTTTTATAATATTTCAGGTCATTTTTTTGCTTTGCTTTTGTTATATACTAGCGTGTAGGATTGATTGATGTTGTTGCAGCGCTGGGTATCCAACTGGGTTTGCCTTATCAGTGCCACACTGCCACTAGTTTGTTTGGCCCATTATTACCACTTAGATATATATTTTTAGTGAGGGGCACAGTATGTTAATTTACGAGTACTGCAGGTCTGCAGCTTTGTGTGTGTACACAGTATACATTTTTTTTTATGTATAGACAATTTCTTGGATGGGTTTACAGGAAGAAAAAACCATTGACTATTTTTTACAGCAAACTTATGATGATATTCCCAGTTGTATTTTACCTGTGATTATTTGCTTTGACTAGGTCACGTGTTAAGGAGTATTTGCCGATCACTGGACTGGCCGATTTCAATAAGCTGAGTGCTAAGCTTATTTTTGGTGCTGACAGGTGCGTTCCTGCTCTCAAGAATATATATGGTCATATGGTTTCCTCATCTGTTACCTTTGACCAATTGTAACAAACAGTAAAATTATCTCACTAAGATAACTTCTTCAGATCCTTTGCTACTTTTGGCTTATTCTTGTATTAGGTAATTCACAAAACTGATTATACTATTTATTGGAACAGTCCTGCCATTCAAGAGAATAGGGTGGCTACAGTTCAGTGCTTGTCAGGAACTGGTTCTTTAAGGGTGGGAGGTGAATTTCTTGCAAGGCATTATCATGAAGTAAGGAATCTGCCTTGGCTCCTTCATAGATACTGATATGGTTCTACATTACAATGCAAAGTATGATCGCTAAATTATAAACGTGTTCTCCAGCGCACTATATACATCCCACAGCCAACCTGGGGGAATCACCCCAAAGTGTTCACTTTAGCTGGCCTGACTGTTAGGAGTTACCGCTACTATGATCCTGCAACCCGTGGACTGGATTTCCAAGGTACCAATTTCAATTTTCCATGGAGGAACTTGTTCTTATGAAGAAGATTAATTGCAAGATTGTTTGCACCTGTCTGACTTGATCAAGGATGTGTTTTCGTGTTACAGGGCTGTTAGAAGATCTCGGTTCAGCTCCTTCAGGTGCAATTGTACTGCTTCATGCTTGTGCCCACAACCCTACTGGAGTAGACCCAACTTTGGACCAGTGGGAACAGATCAGGCAGTTGATGAGATCAAAAGCATTGCTGCCATTCTTTGATAGCGCTTATCAGGTAAATTATTGGCATCCTTAATACTTATACTTCTAGTTCTTAGGAAGCATGACATTGGTTAATACTTATACTTCTAGTTCTTATACTTAATACTTATACTAATTTTTCTTTCTGTAGCCGTAAATTCCATTGGTTTTTGTCCATACGACATTTTATTTCAAAATAGACTTTGACTTCATTATTGTGCCTGCTATGCTTTATTTGTTCAGGGATTTGCAAGTGGAAGTCTTGACCAAGATGCTCAATCAGTGCGCATGTTTGTTGCTGATGGTGGTGAATTGCTCATGGCTCAGAGCTACGCTAAGAACATGGGATTGTATGGAGAGCGTGTCGGTGCTTTAAGCATAGTAAGATATCTTCACTCTAATATTTGTCAAGTTCAGCTTTGTGGCTTGCCCATACTTTGTTCGTAGTCTTGACCGAGGTTGCTGTCATCTTCATGCTGTTCATAGTAGCAACTGATGTACCTGTCATGCATGGAAATTTGTGTGTCTATTTTATTTCATCTCACACTGGCTATTTTACTACTAGTAAGAGATATAATCACTATGAGCCATGATGGCTACAATTCAAGTATTATAATTGTTTTTTTGTCTTGTCTCCAAAAAATATTGGAGATGTTTAATGAGGTTGAGAGTCTTTCAAGGTGGGAAGTTCTAAACGAAAGTAGGACAGTGAATTTTTATTCTTTCCAGCTCCAAATATCTCTTTCAATTTTGTCAATCACATGCCACCGATGCTTTAATTGTTGAAATTAAATTTTGATTCTAAGTTGATGCCGACCCAGATAATAATATCCTATTTAGTTGCATAGAAAAACTGAACGGAATGTAACTTTGTATTTCAGGTTTGTGGAAGTGCTGATGTAGCTGTCAGGGTTGAAAGTCAACTTAAGCTTGTAATTAGGCCTATGTATTCAAACCCTCCTATTCATGGTGCATCTATCGTGGCTACCATACTTAAGGACAGGTAACATTGATGTCATAATAATTCTAGTCAACCATAGAAAGTGAGCTATATGTTGAGAAAGGCATGCCTAGAGGCAGATTCAGGGAATAAAAGTGTGTGCTAAGTTCTTTTTGATTATATTTTTACTAGTGCAATGTTCAATGAATGGACTGTGGAGCTGAAGGGCATGGCTGATAGGATTATTAGCATGAGGCAACAGCTTTTTGATGCTCTGAAAACGAGAGGTAATAGTTTCTGTCAACTCCTCTATATCGTCCTTGCTGGAAGTACATAACTAATGCTATGTACAAAGAAATTTGATCATTGGCCTTTTAGTCTTTACGTTTATTTCAAGTTCTGTTTTGACAGCAATTTTGACTAATTCTGTTTATGTTTAGTCTTTACGTTTATTTGATCTGGAGGCGTTATTTCCCTTTTTTCTGTGAATGCTACAATTGAATTTTGACTAATGTTTCTTACTGTCAAAGCAGTAATGTTGTTTTAAACTAGATTTTCTTTGGCTATGAGAAAATTTTATATTCTATTTTTTTCGAGTTGATTAATCAAGCTCCTGAGACAAGTTCCCTGAATTCCAAATAGTGCACTAAACCAATAGTATATTTTTAAAGCATTTATATGATTCTACTTGGCTTGCACTTATAACCTTAATGATAGAAGGACATTGTTTTACATGGAAAAGCTGCAATGCGTATTTGGCTCGTTGATCTGGGTTTTATGATTGCTCAATATTTTTGTTTTAAAAAGGAGTTTTTCTTCCCTTTTTCTGAATCCATTCTCTATGGCTAAAAGTGAGGTACATTGTCAGAAATATTAATCATTGTTGACATGATAACATCATGCAGAAACTCCTGGAGACTGGAGTCACATCATTAAGCAGATCGGAATGTTCACTTTCACTGGGCTCAACAGTGATCAAGTGGCTTTCATGAGGCAGGAATACCACATTTACATGACATCTGATGGGTAATTGTCTAATTTAGCTATTGTGCAACACTCGCAATTATGTTTGTATGATCTAAGTCTGCAGTTATACAAACTATATAATTTTTAGTTCTATAACAGTAGATGATCTATCTTACTGTTTCTATGGTAGTTTCCTTTGCTAAATGTTCCTTTTTAGCTCATCTTTACAAGCCAAATATTTCTCTTGCAGGAGGATCAGTATGGCTGGTTTGAGCGGGAGGACCATTCCGCATCTTGCAGATGCAATCCATGCCGCAGTCACAAAACTGAAGTGAATGATGGTAGCATAGCAGCTCCCTCCAAGAATAACATCTTAAAACCATCCGCAGCAGTGTTCTGAGGATTCAGACAGTGATGTTTGCTGGCTGAGCACATCCTGGAAGTTTCCTTGTAATAGACTCGTGTGACTTGCTTTTGGGAGCAGTTTTGTACCAGTGGATTCAGAAAAAGTGGTGATTTCGAATCACCTAATAAGCTCCATCGGTGATGCTTTTACCATATGCAGCGTTATATAATCTTAGAATTCTAGGAAGCTAGTGCTTGTTTTATGCGAACAAATGCGTACCTTCCGTTCCCTTCCATTGGCGGACAGGGTATACGACATACGCTGATACAGAGCATCAGTGCCATTCAGATGCATTTTTTTTTTCGCGGAGTTGGTCACATGTGGATTTGGTGGAACCTGGTCTGTGATGCACAAGTAACTCAGTATTGATTACTCCTATTTAAGTCGGGTTATGTAGGGCACGCCATGTTCTGCCCTTTAATATGAAATGAAACATGCGTTTTGCCCTATATCAATATACACAGGGCAAAGCTCTTGCCTTTGTTTAAAAAAAGGGGAAAAATAAAGAAAGAATGAGGGGGTGTTTAGTTTCAGGGCTGTAAAGCTGTAAAGTTTTGACGTGTCACATTTAGGTATTATATAGGATATCGAAAGGGGTGTTCGGGTACTAATAAAAGAACTGTTTTAACGTGTCACATTAGGTATTATATAGGGTGTCGAATGTGGTGTTCGGGTACTAATAAAAGAACTAATTACAATATCCGTCAGTAAACCGTGAGACGAATTTATTAAGCCTAATTAATCTATCATTAGCACATGTTTACGGTAGCACCACATTGTCAAGTCATGGAGCGATTAAGCTTAAAAGATTTATCTCGCAGAGTAGTTGCAACCTGTTCAAACCTTTGATGTGACATGGTGTAAAATTTTAAGGTGAGATCTAAACAGGCCATGAATGAAACATGCGTTTTGCTGTGGCCACACTTCCAGTCTTCTATACCATACCGTTCATTGTTGAAGACTCTGGATCTTTACTATTAAGAGGAAACTAAAGAGCTACTCCCTTCGTCCCATAATATAAGATATTTTAGAGGGATGTGACACATACTAATGCTATAAATCTGGACAGACGAGTAATAAGCTACCACTTTCGTTTAGAGGGCCTGCAAAAGTGCAAATTACTTCGTTAAAGAAAAAGAGAGATGCACATGTCCACTCGCGACGGCCTAGAAACTACAATGTTAATAATAAAGAAAAGTTAAAGAACCAAATCACCTTCACTTCCACATCCAGAAGTTAATCGTCTTGATCAGATCATGGTGGCTCCATATATCATGTAGATTAATAGATATAATTGTATATAAAAATATTTCTAGAAATGGGTTCAAATATATAACTAAAACAGGTTATATAAGTAAACATTTTTGCGAGGATATATAGCATGTACTCAAACTTCAGTTCAAACAGCCTTACAATTGCGTAGGAAATTTAACTAGTTTTAGTTTTAAACTCTGATGAATCTCTACATATTTTTAAACCCGAGCGTCGCAACAGAAATTATAGAGTTTCTAACATATTAAATCAATTAATAACCGAATAAGTCTAAGTAATACTATGGTTTTTTCTTATTGAACAGGTAGGTGAATCAAAAATTTGGTGGAGCCAATAGTAAAATAGGGGAGTAATTTTTGAAATGTGGGTTAATATTATAGATTTGTGGAGCCCAAATGTTAGTGGCAAGGGTGGTGTGGGAATGGATACCATAGCTACTAAAACTTTTAACTATATATTGAGCAAATGTGGTAGTCCTAACTTTTAATCAATATATCTATTATCCCCTACTCTATGGCTGATAAACCACAAAAAATATTGAAGAAAACAACAAAATAAATTATTAGTAAAACTGAACAAACTTGTCTTAGGAATCTTCCTAGATAAAATTCAAACCGAAGAAATACCCAGAGTAAGACAAAGCCAAGTTTCGAGGAACTTTTAACAGCTGGAGAGGTACTCCCAGAATCTCTAGCTCTAAAGGTTGCGTTCGAATGTGGTGTTGGTTAGCTATATGTGAAATGAGGCAAATCATCATTATCGCATGAGTAATTAAATATTATAAACTTGAAAAATAATTTGTTTTTATAAGAATATATATAGAAAACTTTTATAGAAAAAATATATTGTTTAGCAGTTTGAGAATGCATGCTCCAAAAAAAGAACGATGAAGTAGCTAAGTCAAGTATTTGATTCAAATGAAGCCTAAGTATCTACTTATAGAAACTTAGTACCCACAAACTGAATAGACTCTCACCATATACCCAGTGCCGTCAGGAGGATGTTGAATTGGGGTATATTTGTTCAACTCTATGCTGATTAATTTTTTCTTGTTCTGTCCCTATTAACTCATAAATAAATGAGTTCCTCTTGAAAATATGTCCCCTTAAAATGAGTGGATACTAGCAAATGTTTGTTCCAACTTTTTATGGCGTGATTTGATTAATAGCGGAAAGAGATTCCACATTCCAGCATATTTTAAATTTTTTTATCGGATCCCTGGAAAAGGTTCCCGGCCCAATACCAACCCGTTTACACTCCTAAGTCCTACTAAGTCCTAATAACCGAGTGGTTTCAGATCTCGTTTACATGGAAAGTTGGTTCCTCCTCCAGCCACCAGCTCGATCCTTTCTTCCTCGTTCTCGCGATCTGACCTCCCCATCTCTCCTCACTCGATTTCCCGGCGGCTAGCGACGCGGGAGGAGGCGCCCGGCCGGCCGGCGAGCACGTGCTGATAGCGGCCGAGGAGGCGTTGCGGCTGGACGAAGAGCGCCGCGTGCAGCGAAGCGGCAGTCCGGCGAGCAGGAGGTGGATCTGGACGGCGTCGTCTTCGCCTGAGCCAGCCTCACCACGCGTCGGCCTCCCGAGGCGGGGAGTTCATCCGCGCGAACGGCCCCGGTAGCGGGGCGAGGCGTTCCGAATCTGGCGGCATCCTCGGAGGCACACGGCAACATCTCGGTCTGCTTGTTCTTCACGCTGCGCCACAAGCTCAACTGCAATGGCCGCCGCCGCGGCGTCAAGCTCGTCGCCGGAGTTCTCGTAGTAGCCGAGGTGCCTTGCTCCTTCCATTTCCTCCATCTCCGTCCTGTCGTTCTCCACTGCTCTAGCTACTAGCTAGCAGGATATACTCCACGAATCGCAGAAATGGTATTCAATGCCTTGTAATCGTTCAGAAAACTAAAAAAATATTCCGCAATCGCCCACTTCAACCCCAAATCCCCTGTTTTCCAATCCCCTTCACCTTTTCGCTTACAATCCCTATACCGAACTCCATGCTATTTTCTGCTCCACCCATGTTGATTGGCACGGTAAAGCGCACAGCTCATATCAACTTTTTTTTTTTGTTTTCTTTCTTGCCGGCATCTCAGATCAACATATCAACGTCCTGAACTGTTCTATTTGTCTGCAAGTACCTGCCGAGATGTTATGGTTATTTTTCCTTGGACAGTATGATGCGCTTTTCAATTTCTCATTCAGTTTTTCTTTTCCTGTTTCTCCGATTTTCACTCTTCCTGATTTTCTATTTAAACGGTAGGAAGGTAGCTGTCCTTGCCTGAAATAGAAATGTTTAGTACTGCTCACCTTTTGGCAGTTTCTGCATCATGAAGGTCATTGAAATCTGGCATTTAAGTTGTAATGCTCATGCGTCGTGTTGATCAGTAAAAAGTGTTGCTATTCTCAAAGTTCTAGTTTGAGTTTATGAAAATTTATTCTAGAAGTTCAAATTATGGAGGGAATCTTTTGTTTCTTCTGCAGATACTGATTTTCACGGGGATGCATTAAGCTACGGTCTAACTTGTGGGAGCTGGATACTGCTGAAAAGGGGACCAAATGGAGCTTCAGCAGGAAAGCTCGGATGCGGGGACTTTGTTCTCGGCGCCATCAAGGAACCTATCATCCTCTTCATCAGCATTTGTTTCTGCTAACCAATCCCCTTTCTTCACGCCACGATGTCTATCTGCCCGTGTCTCAGATCACGCACATCCTGAGAACAATAGTTCCTTGAGTGGTACTGTGCTGAAAATCAGTGATATTCTTTCCAGCGACACTCTGTTAAAGCGGGAGCAATTACCATCAGCCACTGTGGGGTTATTGCCATCGGATGCTTCTCCTCCTCCTAGTATTTGCACTTCAAGCAATTTTGACACTCCAGCAATTGTCTATAACAATCCTAGCTTCATTTCCACCTTCAGTGACCCATGTCAAGGCAGTTCATCAGCAACTAGCACTGGTGTCCGTTCAACTCAGAAGGAGAAGCATAAGAGACAGTGGGGATTATATCGGAAATCTTCATCCTCTCAACCTACGACATCAGCTACCTCTGTCAACAGACTTCGGAGCTTTGATGTGTACATAGGATTTCATGGCCGTAAGGCTTCACTACTGAGGTTCACTAATTGGCTTCGTGCAGAGCTTGAGATCCATGGAATCAGCTGCTTTGCTTCTGACAGGTCTAGATGCCGGAGTTCTCACAGCCATGATACTATTGAGAGGATTATGAATGCTTCCACATATGGAGTTGTCATCCTTACAAGAAAATCATTTGGCAATCCTTATACCATCGAGGAGCTGAGGAACTTCTTTGGCAAGAAAAATCTGATCCCTATATTCTTTGACTTGGGTGCTGCTGATTGCCTTGCCAGAGATATTATTGAGAAGAGAGGAGAACTGTGGGAGAGACATGGCGGCGAGCTTTGGATGTTATATGGTGGAATGGAACAGGAATGGAGGGAATCAGTTGATGCTCTTTCTCGGGTGTCAGATGTGCAATTAGAAGCAAATGATGGCAATTGGAGACATTGCATACTTCAAACTATCATTGTTTTGGCCACAAAATTGGGCAGGAGAAGTGTGGTTGATCGGGTGAATAGGTGGAGAGGAAGGGTGGAGAAGGAGGAATTCCCTTTCCCTCGTAATGCTGATTTTGTTGGTAGGAAAAAAGAGCTCTCAGAGTTGGAACTCATTTTATTTGGAGATGTCAGCGGAGATGGGGAAAGAGAGTATTTTGAGATCAAGACAAAGCAGAGAAGAAAGGGCCTCGTAATTGGACGGTCTGTTAACAATTATGAGCAAGTAAATACTGATGATGGTAAAGGAAAGGAGCCGGTTTTGTGGAAGGAAACCAAGGAAAACATTGAGATGCAGAGACTGGGGAGTCCACCACGACATGGAAGGCCATCGAGAACAAAGAATGATGGCAGGTATGGGAGGAAAAGAAGATGTAGGAAGATACTCTACGGAAAGGGTATTGCTTGCATTTCAGGGGAATCTGGAATTGGCAAGACAGACTTGGTTTTGGAGTATGCATACAGGTTCTCCCAGAGATATAAGATGGTCTTATGGGTCAGAGGGGAAAGCAGGTACATTCGACAAAACTACTTAGCTTTGCGGACTTTTCTGGAAGTAGATTTAAGTGTTGATAGTCACTTGCATGAGAAAGGAAGTGACCGATGCTTTGAAGAGCAGGAAGAGGAAGCCATTGCCAAAATACGGCAAGAGCTGATGCGGGACATACCGTTTTTAGTAATCATTGATAATCTTGAGAGTGAGAAAGACTGGTGGGATAAGAGAGTCATAACAGACCTTCTTCCACATTTTGGTGGAGAGACCCACTTCATCATAACAACACGCCTTCCACGTGTGATGAACTTGGAGCCAATGAAGCTTTCTTATTTGTCTGGTGCCGAGGCAATGTCTTTGATGAAGGGAGGCGTCAAGGATTATCCACTGGTGGAAATTGATGCACTAAAGGCCATTGAAGAAAAGCTTGGAAGACTCACTCTTGGCCTTGGTATTGTGGGATCTATACTCTCAGAGCTTCCAATCACTCCGAGCAGGCTTCTTGATACGTTGAGTCGGACACTGCCCATAAGAGATTGTTCTTGGAATGAGAGAGATGCTATCAGTTTGAAAAATCATGAAATCCTTGTCCGGCTCCTGGATGTCTGCCTATCAATATTTGACCATGCCGATGGTCCTAGGAGTCTGGCAACCCGGATGGTTCAAGTGTGTGGTTGGTTTGCACCTTCTGCGGTCCCAATACATATGTTGGCGTTGGCTGCACATAAAGTCCCAAAGAAGCATCGGAGGGGTCCAAGGTGGAGGAAGTGGTGGCGAACGCTGACTTGTGGCTTGGCTACATCTAGGATGAAGAGATCTGAAGCTGAAGCAGCTGCAATGCTGATGAGGTTTGGAATTGCCAGATGCAGCACAAAGCCTGAATATGTACAGTTCCATGATCTGATCAGGCTATATGCTCGAAAGCGAGGAGGCACACGAATGGCACAAGCTGTGGTCCAATCGATCTACCTCCGAGGCTCAATTAAACATTCTTCTGAACATCTGTGGGCTGCCTGCTTCATGTTTTTTGGATTTGGTTCTGATCCTTTCCTGGTAGAACCGAGGCCATCAGAGTTGATTTTCTTTGTGAAGCAGATCGTCGTGCCACTTGCAATCAACACATTCATCACATATTCCCGATGTAATGCAGCACTGGAGCTGCTGCGTCTATGCACTGAGGCATTGGAGCGGGCAGCTGACTCAATGCTTTCTCATGCTGGCAAATGGAGAGAAACACCATTGTCCTGTTTCAGGCCAACTCAGTCAGAAGCCCAATACACCTACCTTTGGCAGGAGCTGGCTCTTCTGAAAGCATCTGTATTGGAAACACGGGCCAAGCTGATGCTTCGAGGTGGACAGTATGACACTGGAGATGACCTAATAAGGAAGGCCATATTCATCCTGACTTCCATTTGTGGCGAGCACCATCCTAACACGGTTTCTGCTCGAGAAACCCTCAGTAAACTCACAAGGCTTCTTACAAATGTTCAGCTTAGTTGATTCATATAGCTTAGGACTTCACCAATATATTCTTTTCAGTGTGGCTTTTCATAAACACTGTACAAAATGCCCCAGATCATCAAATAACAAAAGAAAATTTGTCTACACAATTTGCACAGGTTTGCTTCTTTGGTTAAAGCACTCTCTTGTTACTTTCACCTTTGTGATGTGATCCTAGTCTTAACACGCACAAGGTTTCAGGCATCTTCCTCTGGTGTTGATCTTAGTAATTAATAACTGGCAAACATATACATTTCTCTCCTTTTCATTTCTCATCTTATTGGTCATTTTATTTTGGGATGTCTTCCCCCTGGCTCAACTGTTCTTTTTATTAGTCATTCTATTAAAAGTATCAGCTCAGGTAGTTCTGAAGTGACCTAGTCAGATGCCTGAATTGTATATCTCAATTGTGTCAAGATGAATAAAAAGAGGAATATTCTATCAGGCAAAAGAAACTAGTCGTCTCCAGCAGCCACTGATCCCTACAGTTTTAGTCTCTAGCTAGAGGTGATTTCTTCTATCATATAATTAGAGATGTTTCACGATGTTGGATGGGAGTCTTGCATTATGGTAACTGCCAGATGAAAGTTGGTGAACAATTATTTATTTCTGTCAGCTCCAAAGATCATAGTACAAATTAACAACCATGTGATGCTGATACTTCGATGTTGAAGTAAGGTAATGTTCTACATTGATTCCCATTCAATTTAATTGTTTGTAGCGATTTATTTTTGATAAAAAGATACGAGGTAATAGGCATTTGCATTGAGAAACTAAAACTGCAATTTTGTGCTTATTAAGGTCTGTGGAAGTGTTGTATAGCTGTTATTGGGGTTGAAACTCAACTCAAGCTTGTAACTATTCTAATTCTTATATACACAAACTCTCCTATTCATGGTGCCTCTCATGCCTATCATAGTTAAGGACAAGCAACACTCATATTACAGTTCTGGTTGAAATGCATGCTTATTGGTTATTGCAGATTCACGAAATATTAAAGAAAAACAGTGCTTAGTTCTTGCTGTTGATTATGTCTACTAGTGAGGCATTCAACGAATGGACCGTGGAGCTGTAGTCATAGCTTTTGGAGAATGGAAGTATAAGTTCTGGTCTCTTCTTGCAGCCTTGCACAGAACCATATTTGTGGACACCAAGATCTGAGGCAACAGCTATACGCAGAAAACCATGGTTGAAGTTTCAACCAACTCTATTTCGTTCTTTATGGCAATTTAATTAAAGTTATATGTAAACTTGGTAAGGCTTGATCATTGCCCTTTTAGTCTATGCTTTTTTCTCAAGATCTTTTATTACAACTTTGAGTTGCTTGCCCCATTTTCTAGAATTTATACAACTGCTGTGAACTAATGGTTCTTCAGCAACTGGGTTGACAGATTTTACATCAATTTTTTTGAACGGGAAAACTCAGAGCAGTTCTGGCCTATTGATATGTTATTTTATGATTATTAATTCTACCTTTTCTATTTTTTTTCCAGTGCTTTTTAATCCTGCCGCCAATGTTCTGAACATTACCTTGTTAGCTTCATGAAGAAACACCTGGAATTGGAGCCACACTATTAAGCAAATTGGAATGTTTACTTTCACTGGACTCAGCAGTGATCAAACGACCTCCATGAGGCAGGAATGCCTCATCTACATGGCATCTAATGGGTAAGTCGATCTACTTCAGGAATTTTATGTTGCTATCATAAAAACCATTGGGCGTGTCAAGTTTACGGTTGCACAGTATATAATATAAAGCGACCTGAGTGAAATATGTCAGCGGTCCTTAAAACTTGTAAGCAGGTGCCTTTTAGATCCACAAACTTGTATAAAGCAAATCTAGGTCCCTGAATTTGCTTAAGTATGCTGTCTCGATCCAAAATCACTATATACCTTTCTAGTGCTGATGTGGATGTTGAGGTGACACACTATGCATGTGATGTGGCACATAAATAAGAAAAAAGAATAAAAATGGTGAGACGGGAGAGGTGCGTAAGGCGTTAGGTACATCAGTGCCACATAGTCTCCTAGTCCTAGAAGGACACATGGCAGGCAGCTCTGGACTTATATGCTATTGGAGTACTGTAATAAGTGGGATTTGGATCTGTCTTTTACAAGTTCGTGAACCTAAATAATTATCTATTTACAAGTTTAAAGACTACTGGTGTATTTTACTCTATAATATAACACTCTCCGTTCCATAATACTTCCTCCATTTCTAAATATTTGACACCGTTGACTTTTTAGCACATGTTTTACCGTTCGTCTTATCTAAAAACTTTTATGAAATATGTAAAACTATATGTATACATAAAAATATATTTAACAATGAACCAAATGATAGGAAAATAATTAATAATTACTTAATTTTTTTTGAATAAGACGAACGGTCAAACATATTTAAAAAAGTCAACGGCGTCAAATATTTAGAAACGGAGGGAGTACTTGGTAATTTTGACTTGGCATTGTTTTAGCTTGACCACTAATATTTTATAGATAAACCTACAAGAGTATTGAAAAATAGAACATATTATTGAAGTATGATCACAGTAAATATGAACATATAAATCCCGTTCATCGTAGTTAAACAATTTGAAAGATATCAATGCTCAAACTAGAGCAAGTGCCAATCAAAATTGCCAAATACTCCCTCCATTTCAAAATATTTGACACCGTTGACTTTTAAGCACATGTTTGACCGTTCGTCTTATTCAAAAACTTTTATGAAATATGTAAAATTATATGCCTACATAAAAATATATTTAACAATGAATCAAATGATAGGAAAAGAATGAATAAGACGAACGGTTAAACATGTGCTAAAAAGTCAACGGCGCGAAACATTTCGAAACGGAGGTAGTATTATGAATTGGTGTTTGTGTTCGTTCTGTGTTCTTGCCCTCGGATTACGATTTCTGTTGCATCCAGGAAATGTTATATCTTAAGTTTTTCGGTTGTTGACACATCTGGGGATTGTCCTTTTCTTGCACACCTGCATGAACGTCAGTAGATGTCTCTGTCGTATACATTGGTCAACCCCTCAACCCCTTGAAATGGTACAGAAGATTCTCAGCTCTACAAACCCAGAAGCCGAAAACGGCGGGCTACTCAAGCGAGAGCCCAGTTTGATCAAAATATATATGTACACTATGTGATAATACATGCAAAATATCGTGCCACTTTTTAATGGCGACCTGGTGGGCTTCTATGCGCCCCGAACAGGTTGTCCATGTACGTCTGCTTCAGGTTCGTCATGATGTTGGGCAGCTTCATCAGCCTTCCGTCCTCCTGTGCGGCCGGCTCAGGCGCCGTCGGCGAGGGCCTATCGGCGTCACCGTTCCAGTCATCCATGAAGTCGAGCAGCGTCCTGCCGTTGGGTGACCCTGTCATTTTGCAGGGGGCATCCACCTCGCCAGCCTGCTGGTGGTGGTGCTCCGCGGCGTCGTTGGCCATAGCCGGCGCCGGCGGCGCCTCCTTCTTGGCCTTCTCCCTGGCGTGGTCGTCGGCGTTGAGGACGTCCTCTATCCGGGACATGACGTTGAAGGCCAAGCTCTCCAGCACCCTGGAGTAGCTCTCCAGGATGGCGAACCCGACGTCCTGGCAGCCCAAAGGCGAAAAGTGCGTGTGTCATCAAGCTGGACACTACCCCGACATTGGTCGGACGGCTCACACTGGAGTAAAATCGTGTGTGATCTTACCCTGTTTTCCTGTATCTTGGCGATGTCGAGGGTGGACTGGGGGATGCCGGGGTACCGGTGCTTGATGATGAGCAGGAGCGTCTGCGCGCGCTCCTCGAACTGCTCCCTCTTCTCCTGGCTGACGGCCGATCCCCACGCCGACTTGCCGTCCTTGTTGTGCACCTTCCTGTTCCAGATGATCACCGACGCCTCGATCCGGTCCTTGAGGTCCAGGATCTTGTGCTCCGACGTAAGGTCCACCGTCGACAGGAACACGTCCGGGTCGAACTCCACGTCGGTGATGATCCGGTACAGCGCGTCGCCGAGGCTCGCCCTCCCGTTCTGCAGCCACCCACATTCTTGCCATTGTCAACAGATGTCTTCTTGCACGGTGGATGGATGGATGGATCGTGTGAGCTGCCAGTTCTCACCTTGGGGAGGGATTCGAGGTAGGATTCCGGGATGGCCATCTCCATGAGGCAGTTGGCGTTGATGGCCATGGCCGCCTTGAGCACCTGGTTCACCAGCTCCTTCTGGTGCTGGAGCCACCCTCTGGACGCCGGCGAGAGCCCGCCAGGCGGGACCTTCACGATCGGGATCCACCATTTCTCGTCTGATCTCTGCTCGTCGCTATCCGAGCACGAGTCGCGCTTCACGTACCAGAACTCGTTCCGATCCTTGAAGTTGTCCAGGTAATCCTGCCACGCAACGCAATGGGGGAATATCACGCTGTTCGTCTCGGTAGCTTTGCGAGTTCTAGCGATGGTGAGATCGATGTATGTCGCGCTTTTACCAGGAGCATCGTGTCGATCTTGCGCAACGCCGGTATGTTCGCCTGGAGATCTCTCCGCTGCTGCGTGCCCATCACCTGAGACGAGCAGAGAGAGAAAGATAGCAGGTTACTTGATGGAGCTGCACACCTGTGACTTGTGTGAGCTGTGATCTATCCTGAGCTACAAGCGGCTGCCGCTGCTGCATGGCTGACCTCCATCTCAACGCCGTTGTCCAAGACTTGTTTCTTCGCGACGAACTCGACGATGTGATCGGCGACGGATAGAAGCCAGCCGACCTCTTTCTTCCACCTCCCCTTCCTGTCCGGCGCCATGGGCTCCAGCTTCCGTTGCTCACCAAACACAGAAGCTGATGACAAAAGAAGTTGCTCTCACCACTGCTACATTTCTTGCGTGTGCCCCCCCAAGATAGAGATGGAATTTGGGCAGGCAGTCACCTTACCTGCAAGATTGGTGATGGCGTTGGACACGGCCAGCGCCGACGGCACGCCCTTCCCGGACCCCGACATGTCCTCCCCGAGCAGCAGCTTGGCGAACTTCTCCTTCATCAGCTCCATCTCTGCACGCAAGCGTCTAGCGTCGCTTCAAAACCAAAGCCGTTCTGTCCATGCGCGGCGGCGGGCCGTGTTCGATCATGGCGACGACTTACCGGAAGGTCCTCCGCCGCCGTGTTCGCCGGTGTCCTTGGCGAGCCGCGACTTGGGCGCCGCGCTGTCCTTGTCGAGCACGGCGCCAATCTTGAGCGTGCCGCCGCCGCCGAGATCCTCATCGGCCGGCGTGCCCCGGCCCTCCTCGCTCACCATACTCTGCGACCGTCGCACCGAGCTTCGTCTCTCTAGCAGCGACCCACCGCCGCTCGCTGCCATCAACCGATCAACTCCACCGTGGCCAGCTTCTCGGCAACCAACCAAACAGCAACAACAACAACGGCAACAAAGAAATGGATCCGGTGACACGACACGTCGAAAAGACTGGAAATCCCACCATGATACTACCCAAAGTGTATATACCTGTAAAGGACGCAGCTTTCTGCGGCCTCGAGCGACGTGTGCAGAAGCAAACGATGATGATCCAGGATTGGCGCTGCAGAACACCCACGCAGAGAGAGCCACGAGAAGGAACAAAAAGGGGAGGGTTGAAATGATTAATCCCGAGGTGATGATGATTGTTGTTTGTCCCGGTAATCCAAGAACCGGGTGGTTCGATCGATCGTCCGCATTGTCGCGGTAAGAAGAAGCCCCGGGGAAGAGGGGGAGCATAATTAGGGAGCGGCACATGCTTTATTATTAGAAAGTGCCTTGCCTGCCATAGCGCCATTCTTAGCCACCCTGCTTTCCTGGGAGCTACCTAGCTGGAGGAAGAAGACGAACACAACACATGGAGAATTCGTCGGGGTCAATTTACTGAACAAAGTTTGTTGTCCTACTTAAATAGTTAAATACTTCAAGCATGTTCGGTAGACTTATGTTCCACCTCTTATAGAACTGAAGTCAACTAAACAGTTTTAGCTTCATCCTTTTATTACGTGAAATTTGTCACGACACATGAAGACCTGAGAGATCTGAATAAATCCAGTGCAGGTCCTATCAATCGGGTTCAGGACGTGTCAATTCGTTTAATCATGCAACTAACAAGATAAATAGACAGATCGTATCGGATCAAGGAGCTGATCAGCCAATGGGCTGATGTGAAGTCGAGTGACCAGCCAATATCGATAAGGTTTAGATCAACGGTTATGGGTTCGATATAGATTCAAATATCAGATAAACAATGGGATTCTTGCTATCATCGGCTAGAACTAAACTTCACATAATTATCAATAAACCATTCTTTGTCAAATACAATCTTGATAGATCGGATCGAACCGAGACAATATAAGATTGAAGTTAATAAAGAGAGATTTAACTAGTGAGTATACGAGTTTGAGTATAAGCCAATACATCACTTAGAAATAGTAGCAAGATAACTCATCACCTAGAACTCCGATGAAACGTTGCATAAAAACCTATCGGTTTACTAGAATCAGACTTACTAGCAATAATCTAATAGATCGGAGCTGACCGAAACAGTATAAGATTGAAGATAATAAGAAAACCCTATTTAGCCGATAGATCTACAAAACCGTGATGGATATATTGAATCAATCTAAAACAACAATGTGATTGGAGAAATATTAACTTAATTAGAATATCGGACCTAACTGAGAAAGATCTAACTAAGCCAATACGACTCTAAACAACGGTACAGTTAAAAATAGGATCGATATATCAGATAGGCAACTGTCGAGGGGTGACCCTCTCTAGCGGGAGGCTGTGAGGCCCCCCTTTGAGAGTTCGGCCGGGGGCAGCGGGTGAGATTCGAGGATTTGGTGAGCGAAACTGTGTGTGATCTTGATCTCGGAGGCTCCTCCAAGACGATGAGACAAAAGAGGTTTATACAGGTTCGGGCCGCTATGAAGCATAATACCCTACTCCTGTGTGTATGATTCTTCTGTGCTTAGAAAGTCCATGAATCCCTGGTATGTAAGCTAGGGTTAGACAAGCTTTGGCTCAGGGATCCTCAGTCCGATCCCCCTTCCTTGCTAGGCATTGTCCTCCTTTTATACTCTAAGGGGATACCACATGTGCTGCGAGTGCTACCTAGGGAGAAGGGAAAATATTCTCTAAATTAATTACATGTCTTGTGCCTTAGCCCAGAATCTATCTGCACGTCGGTTGCTGCGCGGGGCCCATCAAATCATGCAGGGCGCCCTTGTCATTCGCCATTTAATGGATGAGGACTTCCGGGTTCTCGTTCACACCAGAAAACGGGAACCCGGGTCAGTTCAGAGTGGTTGGACCAGCTCTGATCGGGGTAAGAGGCTGTGAAGCCCCTCATCATTATGATGGGACGGGACGGAGCACGCCGCTCATCGCCTGACACACTGGCAGGGCAGGGGTACACAGTCGCCGTCACATCGGTCATTCAACCGGTCACAGACCGGTCAGATGCGCAGCACGTTGCATTACATGTGGCATGGCACGGTTGCATAGACCGCTTTAAATGCAGTTAGGTGGGCGTTAGGCGCGCCCACCTAACCCTGTACACGTGGGCTGATATGTGGAGGGGGTCGGGGCAGCTCGACCCCAAGCGAGGGCGGCCTCCTCCCTCTAGCTTGGAGGTGGCAGCCGCCACGCCACCCCGGGCTCGACCCCCCTCGGGGGAAGCCACGTGGGTTTGGAGGTGGCCCAACCCCAAGCTGGGAGGGGGCAGCCGCCGCAACACCCCGGGCTCGACCCCCCTCGGGGAGAGCCACGTGAGTTTGAGGGCGGCCTCCTCCCTCTAGCTGGGAGGGGGTAGCCGCCGCGCCACCCCGGGCTCGACCCCCCTCGGGGGGAGCCACGTGGGTTTGGGGGCGGCCCGACCCAAAGCTGGGAGGGGGCAGCCGCCGCAACACCCCGGGCTCGACCCCCCTCGGGGAGAGCCACGTGGGTTTGAGGGCGGCCTCCTCCCTCTAGCTGGGAGGGGGTAGCCACCGCTCCACCTCGGGCTTGATCCCCTCTCGCGGGGAGCCACGTGGGTTGGGGGAGTTGCCCGACCCCAAGCTGGGAGGGGGCAGCCGCTGCAACACCCCAGGCTCGACCCCCCTCGGGGAGAGCCACGTGGGTTTGAGGGCGGCCTCCTCCCTCTAGCTGGGAGGGGGTAACCACCGCTCCACCCCGGGCTTGATCCCCTCTCGCGGGGAGCCACGTGGGTTGGGGGGTTGCCCGACCCCAAGCTAGGAGGGGGCAGCCGCCGCAACACCCCGGGCTCGACCCCCCTCGGGGAGAGCCACGTGGGTTTGAGGGCGGCCTCCTCCCTCTAGCTGGGAGGGGGTTGCCACCGCTCCACCCCGGGTTTGATCCCCCCTCGTGGGGAGCCACGTGGGTTTGAGGGTGGCCTCCTCCCTCTAGACGTGATACCCCTGGGCCCATATCACCGACAGCAACGCTTGCTTCAACTTGAATATAATATTGAACTTAACTGGGAAGTTCTAGCCACAACGATACAAAGCTTGACAAAACTTACTTTTCGCTGGAGATCAAACTTAACCGATTCAGCCCTGCTCGAAAGTAAGAACTCGCCGGAATAAAAGGCGGCGATGCGCTGAAGGTAATTGTATTGATATGTGAAGATGTCTTACAAAGATCTCAGGTGTACATATTTATACCCTCGGATTGATACAAGTTCTAATTGAATACGATACTAAGACTTCCTAATAAATGAAACTGTCTTGTCATGGTCTTCACAATTTCTCTTTAAATTCAGCTTGATCTGGATAAACTTTCTTCTACCAATTGGCTTATTTTCTTTAACCGAGTCCACTGGTGAATCATACCAAAATTTAACGTTAACGTCTTTATAGTGGAGCTGGATAGAATGATCTGAAGATGAGGTGGAATTGTTGAGACGCTTCACAACTCTACTCCGCTCCAGACTTGGTTACTGGATTTAGACCTCTGGGTTGATATCGCTCTCATTATGTATCATGAAATCTGTTGCGAGGTTTGGGGTTGCTAGTGTGTATAGAACGTACAAAAAATTATTTAGACGAACATGTGCAGAAACCGACCTTAGCTCAGTTGGTAGAGCGGAGGACTGTAGTATGTGCAGATTAATCCTTAGGTCGCTGGTTCGAATCCGGCAGGTCGGAATTATTTTTTTTTCTTTTTTTTTCTTTTTAGTCCTTCCAAGTGAAACCTAAGTTCCCCTCTTCTCTGTTGTCTTCAATTTGAGATGTGTTATTATTATTATTTTTCCTGAGACCTTTATTTTTCCTATTCTTTTTGGAGGAGGAGAACAATGACTTCGATGAGAGTTACGATTTGAACTCGTCCTAGCGCATGTTGCTAAAAAAAGCTTTAAAGACGCGAATTTGATTCCAGCAACTCCAGCAATTCGTATACCGATTCTGAATAAACTCGAGCCCTGTTGCTCTCGATCCAATTATGTACTACAAGGGAAACCAAGTCATTCTAGAAAAACATTACACAACACCAAGTGGAATCGCATGTTTGACCAGCAATTCCAATCTTTTGCACACCCTACTTCCAATTTTCTACTGTGCTATCGTGCGAGTACAATTCACGCTCCATGTATCGTGCCAGCCGACGCCGCCTCGTCGTCGTCATCAAAAACCGGGAGAGTAAACTTGTAGCGCCCGCTGGTTATTCTGATTGATTATTCCGAATCAGATGCATGTTAGCTTCTCGACTCGTGGATGTCGCTTTCAGCTCATCTGCTACGATGCTGCGCCTTTGAAGACGAGGAACCTGAGCGCCCCCAGCTTGAAGTAGATGAAGCTTCCCTTGCTGTGCGTGAAGTAGCAGCCGAAGCTGGCGCCCACCACGCACTGCCATCCCGGCCCGTGGATCATGTCAAACTCCTGCGCATATGCAGCAAAGCCATTCAATCCAAGTGTTGCCAGGGGTGAAATTCAGGTTGATTGATCTACGGTCTCAGATTTCAGTCTTTTCAGATGAATGCAGAAAACTGAAAACAAGAACTTTGCTCTTGGATTGACCAATTAAAGTAGCTAAGGATTGGTGCGAATGGTAGTGATTACCGACCTTCTTGATGTGAGCGGCGATGCTCCGGCAGTCGAGGACGTCGAAGCGGTCGAGGGCCTTGTACGCCGCCGACATCGCCTGCAGCTGCATCTTCACCGGCATGTCGGTGTCCTCCACCATCGCCTTCCCTTCCAACATGGTGGTCGTCTCTTGTGACTCCTTCCTGCCCAGCCTTCTCTGTTGCAATGCTCGAAATGAATGCACAAAGATGAGAGCAAAATGCTGCGTCTCTCGTCCCTTTTTATAGGACGGATGGATGCGTGAATGCGTCCATGTCGACGTGACGTGCGAACGACCCAGCCTGGACGAGTTCCCGGAATCCGGATGGATCGGGCACTAGAGGCACAGATTCAATTGCTGGGTGCTCCCGTCCGGTTGTGAAACTGGAAACAGTGGGTGTTTCCGTGTTGGATATTTTTCCGCTACCAGTTTTTTTTTTCCATCTCGTTTTTCTCATTCTTTTTATCGTAGTGGGGCTCTTTGTTTTTTTGGATGAGCTGGTCGTGTGGATTTCGGTGTCTGGGTTTAATATGGAGAACATGGTATGTGATTGGAACTTCAAATGGGGAACTCAGCAGATAGGAGAAGTTCGATAAGTTAATTGCTTGCTTTTTGGTTCCTATCGTCCTATCCGTGTTGAGTTCTCCACGTAAGCGTGACTGCGTGAGCGTGGAGAAGTCTTCCGGCTGATCTGATCTGGGAAGTAGTATTAAATAGATATATGTGCTTGGCTTAATCGTAACATGTGATAATTATGCGTGGTAGGATCCTGATCCATGGGGTACAGATATGTGCAGGATTATTTTTATTCATTTATAGTTGATCTTGCAGTTCGAATTGATCCATTTAATCCTACCTGGCAGGAGTTAAGTTTGAGCAAAGATTGTAGTGCTGGTCTAACTGCCTTATCAGGGCATCTATAGTCAACCTGCAATGCGTGAATTGTTATCTTATACGGATAAGGGCACCACGCTGTCTTTTTTTACTTTTACTAGCTGAATACCCACACATTGCAACAGAAGTTTAAAAAAGAAAATCTTATCATACACATTTTAGATACTCTAAACAAATTATCTCTATAATTTTCTCTAATCATCTAAGCTGCTTTTGCCATCACTTTTATATGAGAATTTGGAAGGCACGTACACCCTGACAACAAGAACGACCCCCCTTGTCAGGGAGTTGATGGTGGTGGTCGGTGGTAGATTCACCGCTCATCACCACCATTAGAGCTTTTTTAAAATTGTATATATTATTTATATTATAAAATATGTAGCTTTTTTATACTTTAATTTACACCTATAGTTTTGTGCTAAATTTGATATTTAATTTATAGTTTTACGACATACCACCTTAAATAGTTTTTTGTCAAAAACTTAAAAAGTAAGATCAAACTATCCCTAATTTTACGAAAATTACTTTTTTTTTCTTACCTCCGATTTTCCTGAGATCCGACAGGCAGGCCGCCGTGATCTCACAGGACTCACAGCGCGTCCCAAGGCTACAACGGCTGAGACGATCCGCCAACCAACGATTAATTTCCGGCAGCCCAGGAGCGGAGGAGCCCTGCCCAGCCGCTAGCCTGACGACACGCCGAAAACCGATGGCTGCCCCGGCGGGACCTCATGTCCAGGAGGCAGAAACCGCCCGATGCCACCACTCTCCTGTCCAACTGGGCCCAACGCGTCGCGCCCGCAGATCTATGGGCCGCCCCCACCCACACCGTATCGAAGAGGTGCAGCGCCAGCCTGCCGCCGCTGGCGCAACACCACACGGGCACGCGCCGCACAGCGAAAGCCGGATTCTCCACCACGACGTCCCCCACAACCGCGCACCAGCCTTCCGGTGCGCTTCTCGTGGTCAGGACTAGTCAGGCACCGCGCTCTCTCTGTGCCGGGCGCTCGCTACAGGGAGAGTGTAGCGGAGGCGTGCGCGTTCCACTGTTCAAGGACGGACGGCTTCGTTCCCTCTCCCTTTCACAAGGTCGGCTCTCTTTTGATCGAGGAAGCAGATCATTTCTGCAACGGGACAGAGTGCGCGGCTACTTTCACCTCACCAGCATAAGCACAACAAAATCAACGAATGAAATAATGGCCAACTAGAAGAACATCTACATTGCCTCTGCTCAGCATTCTGAGTTCTTTCTGACACAGACACAAACGATTCGATCGCGCATCAGCGACGAAATCCCCGTTTCCCTCAAACTTCTCCCCGTGCTGGTTTTAAGACGGAGGGAAGAAGCGGTTGAGGTTGAAGGGCAGGCTGTAGAACTCCTCGCTCCTGGCGTCCCCCTTGAACGACCGGAACGGTACCCACCATGGCATCCCCCGGTCCTTGGCCGCGTTTTTCACCTCCAGCGTGTTGTCCAGGAAGACGGCCACGATCAGTCCGACCGTCGGAGGCGATGAGAAGATAGTGTTGATGTAGTCGTTGAACTGCATTATACAGCACACAAAAGTTAGTACCTGTAATTCCTAACTACGCTTCAGAAGAATCTCCACTGCAACTAGTATTATTGTAAGTAGAAATAATCTTAACCGTTGGATTTATGAGTTTTACTACCAGTGAAAAAAAACATTTTAGTAGAAATAATCTTAACCGTTGATGTCCCCATTGAATTAAAAAAGATAAACGATCTAAATATATTTTACTGACAGTTGTAAAACATCTCATTTATCTAATATCAAGTTGTCAACATGTTACTGTTGAATTTAGAAACGCAGAACAATTTGCTACATAGGTGAGCCATGAGGAAGGTGATAAAGAGGGACAAACCCATCCAGCTTTTGTGTGCGCAGGGCCACGCTGAGCGGCCATGCTGTACCGGAAAAAGTATTCGGGCACAGATAGGCCAAGAAAGATGGAGACACCGACGATAAAGAGGTTGCGCATGGAGTTCATGTTAGTAAACTGCAAGAAGGAGAGCCCCACTGCCGCTGAAAGTCAAACAAAGCAAATGTGTGAGACAAGAACAAAAACAGTGGCGTATTTACTCGCATCAGATGGCGCAGGGTAACCAACCAACTAGTCCAAACAAGACGCAGTACACGGCCGCAAAGATGGTAAATGGGATGGAAGCAAACAATGCTCCAAATTTTCCTGCGCCAGATGGAAAAAGGAGAATTCAGGAAAACTGAGCTAACATTGGGCATGATCTGCACACAGTTAAATTACTGTCCTATCAACAAATTACTCACCTAGCATGGAGAAGAAGATCATGAAGCCGGCAGAGATCTGTATAACTCGTCGGCTCCCGATCCTCGTTGATCCTAACAACCCGACATTCTCCCTGCATTGATCTTAACGTTATCAAGCTGGAAGTAACTCTTTGATAAAAAAAAATTCTGAAGTTCACTCACACTGACACGGTGGAGCCAGTACCCGTTCCAAATAGCCCATCAAGAAGGATACCAATTCCCTGTTGTTTATGGAGTATCAACTTAATTACAGCTCTGAACAACATTCAGGAGTAAAAAACAAGAAACAATAGGATGACTTAAATATCCACCTGCCACCCAATGCCTCTACTGAGGATATGTGCTGGAGGTGGAGTAGCACTTGCAAGCCGAGCCGCAGCTTTGTAAGAAGCCGTGGACTGTCCAAGACAGGCTTTGAGTTAAGTTCAAGGCTGCCACGCAAAGAAATGGCTCCTGAAGACGAGTTATGAGGGGCATTACCTCTACTAGCGATACCAGAACAGCAGATACCATACCAAAGGATTGACCGGCACTGAAAGTTGGTGCGCCCCATTGTAGTGGAAAAGGGATCTTAATCCTGGAGCAAGTCCCTATTGTTAGCACACACACACTAACTGAAGAATAAAATTATCCAAAAGGATCAACTGAAGAACTATCTTTCAGTAGGACAACTAAACTTTTCTGTGGGACCCATTTGTCACTGTTTGCGAGTCCTGTGACCCATCCAATGCAAAATGTACAAGGCTGTTGAGGCCCCAAAGGTTGAGCTTAGGCCTTTAGTCTTTTCTTTTTTATCTATTGATCATAACTTTAAAGTCACGATCAAGTCTCACTTCTAGGTGACTGAACACCTATACAATCAACTAAATCTGGTTAAACTAAGAAACTTTGACATAGAGCATGTAGTGCAAAGAAGAGCTTAGCAACCAAAGTCCCATACTAAGGATAGCATAAAGCACATTAACACCGTAACCATTTTAGTTTACTTGGCACATTAAAGATATCACAAATTCGATGGGAAAATAAGCAGAGACAAACCATGGCGCGGAAGAGATGAGATTGGCACGGTCAGTGCGGCAGTTGATCTGAGTGACCTCAGGGCTATGCTTATACGCGCCACCTGCAGTGAGGATTTGAGCATAGGCCCAAACCAACGCGATGCAGATGAACAGGGAGAACCTCTCCAGTATTGGAATATCTCTTATCTGTACATTCTTCAGATACTGAAAAACATAATTGACAATGCACGAGTTAGACTCAACTTCAAATATGGTCACTAGCAAAAGAATTCGATCATTGGAGTTGCTTGCCAAACCTGAGAAAGCACGACAAACAGAATTAACATTGGAAGTCCAACCTCAACGCATCTCCCAACCTGACAGTAAAATCAAACAACAATGCAATGCAATGAACAATCTTTCCTGTCTGAAAAAAAATATACTGCATTGTATGTTCTGCTTGCGTGTCGAAAATGTGAGGCGTCAAATGAACAGCTCGTACCACAGGGAATCCTCTTTCGAAAAGGCCAAACCCGAGCAATGCAACCACTGGCGCCATCCCCAACGGGCTGAAGAATCTGAAAGGCAAAAGCAGCAACACCGCATGAGACCATGACCCATCAGTATGGGAGCGTAGGCACTGTCGAAACTGAATCTGACATGCACACGCACGTAACCAGCAGCATCCATCCATGTGTTGTTCTAACGTAGTACTAGGAGGAGTTGAAGGGCAAACCTGGAGAAAATGCCCCACAGCTGGCTGTAGCCGAGGATGATCTGAATGCTGGAGGACACGATGAGTGCCCCCTGTATCGCCCTCATGGTCTGAAGGAACCTCTGCTCAGAGAGAGAGAGAGAGAGAGAGATGAACAGCAGATGATTGTGATCAGACACGCCTAATCTAAAACAGTAGAGGCGATTGGACGGATGGATGGACAGAAAGAAGAGCGTCCGCCTGCTCTGCTTACCTCGTGGTCGTCGGGTATGGCGGCGAGCGATGAGTCCTGTATGATGGCCATTATCGGGACCACGAACGCGTAGGATCCGCCGATCACCGTGGGCAGGCGCGTCCCGAACAGCGACTGCAGCAGCGTGTTGATGCCGGTGACGAACAGCAGCGTCTGCACCACCCTCACCCTGTCCCCCTGCGACAGCAGAAAGCAGAAAAGTGAGTTCTCAAACCATGGGTGGTGGCGAATGGATTGGGGGAAATCAACAAGAGTGCGGCCGCGGCGGCGCTCACGTCGCTCCCGCCCATCATGGGCACCAGCACCGCCGGGATCATCACCGCCGTGCCCAGCGCCAGGATGTAGTGCTGGAATCCCAGTATGATCGCCTCCCCTGAAACAGCAAAAATCCAAGACGTGGATTCAGAATGCGAAATCCCGAGCAGGAAAAAATGCAATGCAGCCGCCGCCGCTTCGGCTCTCACGCACCCCAGGGAGGGTTGGAGTCGATGCAGTACTCGAACCCCTGCAGCTGCTCCATGGGCGGGTAGCTGATCTCTTCCGGCTTCACCTCAGCCATCGTCGCCGCACCACCACCCTCTTCTTTGCCCGTCAGGATCCCGCCGCCGAGCAATGAAAACACACGGGAACAGGAAAACACACGGGTTCCTCGCTTATGTAGGCGCCGCTGCGTGCTCTCTCCTTGGCCTCTCTCTCGAGAAGGCTTCTGGAGCCAGCCAGGTGGGGGCTTATTCAGCGTACGCGCTCCGGCACGGCACACGGCAGCGTCCCCCTTCCGCAGGGGGGGAGATCAGGACGAAATCTGTTGGAGAAAAAGCCGCGAGAGAGGATGGCTCGTCTGCGTGAGAGAGGGAGGCAGCGCAAAGAGCAAATTCGCACTCTCGCCGGCGCGGCTACTGTTCACTCTCACACTCGTTCGTCAGCCTTGGTCCTCACACTCGCTCACTGGGGCCGTTTGTCGTCGTGGTGCTTTCTTCTTCTCTCCCTTTTGCTTCTCCATTTTTTCCCCCTTTTATCCGTGTTTCGAGTGCTTCTTCCCTCCTTCCGGGAAACTGAACTGGCCGTTGGCTTTTTTGGTGTGACCGAATTGCCCCTCCGCCACTCACCAGTTTCCCCTTCGTGCATTAACTACTCCCTACGACTAGCCGTTCTTTTTTTTTTTTCCTAATCCTGCGAGTAAAACACGCTGCTGTTTCTTCGTTTTGTTTTAGTTTACCGAAGATGCTACACTTTCTTACTCTAATAATCCTAGGACAAATTGCAAATCTGGAACATCTTTCTTTCACCTGATTTTTTAGTAGAAGTCCAAAAATATGTTCATCTCCACCCACTTGACCTGTTTAGTTAAAAAAAACTTTCCCACAAACATCATATTAAATTTTTGAATACATGTATGAAGTATTAAATATAGATAAAAATAAAAACTAATTGCACAATTTGCATTTAAATCGCGAGACGAATCTTTTGAGCCTAATGAGTCCCTGATTAGCCATAAGTGCTACAGTAACCTGCATGTGCTAATGACGTATTAATTAGACTCAGAAGATTCGTCTCGCGGTTTCCAGACGAGTTATGAAATTAGTTTTTTCTTTCGTAACCTAAAACCCCTTCCAACATCCGGTCAAATGTTTAATGTGACACTTTCCGTTTCACCAACTTAAACGGGCCCTTACTTGGACGCTGATTACACACTACAGTGAACGTTTTCTACCGTACCGTAAACCCGATGTGACATGACAGAGTCCTTCGGACCAAGGGCAACATCCTTTCGTGATCATTGAGGCGGCAAAGGCAAATGGCAAAGACTCACCAGAACCACCAGAAGACCATTGCGGGTTTTGCATTGCGAGTAGTGCAGGTAGCGGTCGGAACATGTTGCTGGTTTCCGATTTAACGGACGGGACGAATGCCCAATTAGATACCCACACCACCACCTGACAGTCTGGTCCAAGTACAGGGGATGTTTGTAGTTTTCCGCTTCTGAAAAATGGTTGCCTCGTCAGCCTGCCTGCCCTGCCTCGTGCCCCGCTTGACTCGCAGTCGCCATAGGCAACAGATTATTGAGGAGAGCGCAAGAGTTGAGAACTTGAGAAGTGGGGGGTGGGGGGCAAGGAAAGTTACCGTTGGGTGCCGTTCTGTTCTGCCTGCGTCTGCGTGCGAGGCGATGATTGCATCGGACGGTGAGAGAGAGAGAGAGGGAAGGGGGGGGGGGGGGGGGCGAGGACCGGCGGCTCCGGCTGGGCCCCGCGAGCCAGTCCGTAGGAAAGCGATCAGAGATGATGCCCCTGCGCGACCCCTGCACGGACTCCGACGCGGTGCATCGCGACGCTGCTGCTGCTGCTCCTACTAGCTGCTTGTGCTACCCACCGGTGGTACTGGTACGTGCTACTACTTGCCTGCAGTGGCAATGCGGCATGGGCGCACGGCCACCGGAGCGAAGCCGAGAGAGGGCTACTGCTCCCAATCAGCGGGTAATTTACTCCATTTTATTGCAGTAACTCTCGCCTCTGCTGGGGCCGGGCCAACGGGCTCCGCCATCGCTGCGACGATGCGTCGTCACTCTCCTCCTGCCAGATCTCTACGGATGGCGTGCTGTGGACTCTGGTGAATTCATGGTCATGGACATGCATGTCAGGTTGGTTAGCAGTGGTAATTAATGGTAGGGCGACGGTTGCCGTTCCCTTCCGGCCGGTTGGTGTGTTCGCCCCTTGTCTGCGGTGTTACTACTGCCAGTTCGTAGCGTGGTGGGGCCGTGGGGATGGTGCTGCTGCGGTTATTGCGGTGTTGATCACCGATAGACCGTTTGGGTCGCAAAGAGGATTACTACTAGCGTTAAACTGTTAAAAACGGCCGTAATGCGCCGTGAAAACTGATCTCTTGGTTGGTTGGTTGGGCTATTCAGTAAACTGTACTGGTATATTGGTGTACTGTACCATACTGTTTGGAGTAGATCCACAGCACTGTTGATAGCAGGGCCGCCCATCCGTGCCGTCCAGAGTCCAGACCGCACGGCTTCGGTCCTGAAAGGACAAGCATGGAAGTTGGAAGGCTGGCTAGCCTAGTAGCACTGGTATATTATGATGAGAGCAATTTTAACAGGTACGGAGTACTTCGCAGAAACCAGATACTAGTAGTAGTGTAGTAGGAGTATTTAATACAGCACCTTGAATACCGACGGGAAAGCGGAAATTTATTGAGTTTAAATCCGCCCAAAATCAAGAAAATGTCCTAAACATGGCAAGATGAGGTTAGTATGTCACCCTTGAGAAATGCCAATACGCCCAAAAAGCAGCTTATAGTAAAAATAGCAACACATAGGGAACACATTGTGTAAGCATGTTTTTTGGCCAATTCTTGAAGGTTTTTTTTTTCACATTATAAGGCTATGTAATTGAAAACCTCCAAATAGTACATCCTTAACTCAAAAGAAAAGGAGAGAAGCACTACGATCTTCTGTCTGACTTATGATCGCTTGTTTTCTTTTCTTCAGCTTCTTTCCTCTTTTGTTGCCTGAAAGTAAAATGATCAATGTTACGAACAACAGAGAGGGGTGCTGGAATTTATCAAGATAAAAGCTGCTCAAACAACTAACATAAAACCTATGTATAACAAATCTTCATATAGTTATCCTGTTGTTTTAATGGTTAAAAGTAAGATGTTTAAGTTACACAGAGTAACTGACGCATCAACCATACATTTTATGCACTGTAATTGATATTACCACTGCATCATAACAGTATGAAAAACATATGGATGTAGTTCTCTGAGACAAAATATTCATAGGGAAAACAATGGCACAGCTATGAACAGTTCAATTAGCTTTGGATTGCATTTCTGATTGGCACTGACAGCAAGATAATACAAAAAGGAATTGTATGCTAATAGACCGTGAGCATAGAGGCAAACCATCTGTTCCAAGTTCTGACAGCTGAAATAAGAGAACTTACGCAAAAGCAGCGTATCCAGCACCAACATTTGCTGAAGTTAGAAGCGCGGCTGCTGACAAATTATCAAGTCCACTTGGAGCCACAGGGTTCTTAATATCCCCATCAACCTAGTAATAAATAACAGAAAAGCAACAGTCAGTCCTGATGTACACTGCAGTATGTAAATATATTGGTTCAGGTTTAAAAACCTTATCCCATTTTGACTTCTTGTTTGGCCTAGCCTCTTTCTGTACGCCTTCTCCCGATATCGAAACCAATGGTGCACCAGCAGCAGCTGCTGCTGATACAGCAGCTGTAAAAGATGCAATGAGCACTGAAACATCCAAAATACAAAATTGACAGATTGGTATCATAATTTCGTTTGTATGTACTATACCTGCAATTTTCGGTATTGCCGCACTAATTGGAGCTTGTACTCCTCCAGTGATAAAGTCAACCTTTCCACTCTTTTTCTTCTCCAGTTCCTTTCTCTCAACTTCACGCTTCATATCAGCTTCTGTAGAAAATAGGAGGCTCGTCATGCCTAGGATATATTCTTGCGCAAGTCTTAGAAGAAATTTCTCAAGAAAGAACTAAAACATTCACTATTGACTCCACAGGCATAATATATGTATAAATAACTAATCTCCAAGTTCAGTTTATGAGTGAAGAACCACTTCGCGAGGTTGTCCTAGATCAACAATTCCCATCTCAACATAAGAGCGACCATTCACCAAATCATTTCAGAATTGTCCAATCATCTACTAGTTTATTTTGTATGCACATGTTGCTAACACAACAAATCAAGCACATTGCAAGAATTCCACCCTCCCCCCAGAATAGACGCAAGCTGCAGGTTTACAAGCATATCATAAAGAAGATTGGAAGTTACTTTGAGGTTTAAAAACACATCCTACATTCTTTTTTTTTCCCAAGTGAAGCTGTATTCTAATGTTCAATTGTTTGTCAAAATTGCACTATATAATCCACAAGTACAGCATAATGGATAAACCTCGACTATAACATACCGATCTCATCATAGTAATCGCTTCTATCGTACCCATAAGGATCAAAAACATCTTTACTGAAGCAGGTCCCTATCTGGTCAATTTCTTGGTACCGCACAGCATGCTGCAAAAAGTCTGGATTCCTGTAGTCCTTTCTATTGCGCACTTCAGAATTGAAGCTCTTTCCAGCCCTTTTGTACGCAAGGAACTTGTTGATCTTTTGCTGTATCCAAAGCATTGGAACATAAATAAATGTTTAATGCAATAGCCAAATAAATAGATTGTATGGATGTGCATTCTAATTTCTAAGCAGTATGCATGTCATGTGAAAGGCCATGCTGTTGCAGTGTGTTTACAGGACTTGAAAAGAGAAGCATATGTCAAACTAAAAACAACAGAAGGGCTTCAAAATATCGACCTTTTGTTCAGAAATAATAATTACAAATGAGCAAGAGTCATTAGCTAGATAAACAAATTTACAAGCATGTAATAAATCAAAAGGAGAACAACGCATACAGCTATGGCACAGCCAGATCTCAATAATACCATGAAAAATGCATGAAATGGTTTCTGGGGTATGGCTTATGTGAGCAGGAGAACAAATTTATTCTAGACAATGGAGTTTATTAAATCCAAAGGATAGTAATATGGTCCCAAGGGAGAACAATGTTCTGCATAAAAATGTGATAATTTTTTTACATGGAAGTAGAACATGTAGGAAATATTATTTTATTAAGAAGGAAACCTGTAGTGCTGCAGAACATTTTGCAGTCACAGGAGGAGGAAGGAAACGACTCAGAGGATCATCATTCTGCATGTTATCAGCAGCTTCTTCCACCTGAACATCTTCCATTTCTGCTCCAGTTACACTCATTGCTGCAGCTGCCCCTACTTGATTCTGTTCAGGTGCATCGTTCTGCTGAGACATTTCTGATCGTATATTTGGGGTCAGTATGTGAACAATACCTGAGAGAGTCTTTTCTTCATAATTCCCTATAGGAGAGGGATAAAATATAAATTAGATTATATCTAGATTGCAAATTTAGAGGTTATAATAATTCAGTTTCATCGAAAAGGTAAAACGAGACCACTAACTCACCAAAATGTTTTCTAGAATGGCCAGAAACATAATATATAATCACCAAAGGAAATAAATCTGTCATGATATTAAGAGTTTCGTCCATGGATGAACAAAAGAAATGCATGCATTCTTGTTCTGCACATAACATTTTGGTACTGACTACTAACACACGACTACAAATGCAAAAGATCTTGAGGCATGTTATTGTGGTATATCTGTAAAACAAGGTTCATTCTTTGTATTTTGGAACCTACATGTTTCTGGCTGAGGTAATTAGCAAATAATGCATAGCCTGATTATGTGAAAACAAAATATCTCAAACATTTATTATTTTCAAGTGTTTGTCTATGTTTTCAGCTCTCCACCTTTCTTGGATATGGTTGTCAACTACAAGTAAACAAACCATTTGAGCACAAACATGTTTTCTGATATGTGCTCTGTCATTGATGACATATCCTAAATAGTGCTAACGTTGTGATAAATCTCTACTATTATAAAAATTGAAGATGTTTTTGCCGGTACTTTGGTACATCATCCGTGTATGAGTCGGTTTTCAAGTTCGTTCGCTTTTGGAAATACAAATCCGTATTTGAGTCGGTTTTTAAGTTTGTTCGCTTTTGGAAATACAAAAGGAATTGTATAGGAAATCTCTTTAAAAAACTCGCATGCTACTTGAGATGGTCGGATTCCTAATTGCAGCTCATGATTTTCTAATAAAATATATATATCCAAGCGAATTTAACAGTGAATTTCATCTTAAATAAACCATATAACAATAATAAGATTAAAATAGCCTTCACCCGTTGCAACGCACGGGCATTTTTTCTAGTTGATACTAAATTACATAACCGTCAATACCGAGTATGCGACTGATCATAAATCCTTAAAATCACAATTTCTGCATACTAGCTGGACATCTCGATTTGCACTAGATATTAGCACGGTATGCTGAACATAGCACAATACAACAAATACAGCAGGCTAAGAGCTTACCCTCAGCAACCTGAGCATCCAAACCCGATCTGTCTATGCCATTGATCTCCCCATCCTGCAACCAGACCATAACAACATCAATTCAGGAAAGTTGGAAACTCCAAGCAGCATCACTAAACATATACGTTGCTAGCTCTACCTCCTGCTCCGGCGACATGGCCGTTTCGTCATGAGCGTAGTCCACGATAGCAAGCGGGCCACGCCGAGGGGGGCGCGGCAGGTCGGCCGGCGGCATGGCCGCGGCGGGGCGGAGCGGGGAGGGGGACGAAATCGCGAAGGGCGAGGACGAGCGGCGCGAAGGCAGCGGCGGGAGCCCCGGCGAGGGGTAGGGGCTGGCTAGGGTTCTGCGGCCGGCCGGATCCTCGGCGAGGGGAGGGGATGGGGGCGCCGAAGAAGCGGCAGCGTTGGGGTTAGGGTTTGAGCCCTCGCCTTCGGTCTGAGGTGACGGCGACGAGGAGGTTGCGGCGGCGGGCGGCGAAGGGGGTCTGGGCTCGTCGCCGTCATCCTCTTCCTCGTCGTCGTTGTACATGGAGAAGAGAGCGGCTACTGCCTTGGTGTCGGACGCCATGGCGAGGCGTAGAGGGGGTGGGGGTCGAGGCGAGAGGTTAGATTTGGCGATTTGGGGAGACCGGAGAAGACGAGTCCGACCGTGAAGGATTCGCGAATGAAACAGCCGCCGTATGGGTTCTCTTACAGGAGCTTCAAGTTGGTGATTTGTGGGTTCGAACAGAACGGGCCGGTTGATGACGATGGATGGGCCTTGAATCTTCATGGCGTCATGGCCTTGAATCTTTATCTTCATCTTCATATTCAGGAAATTCATTGATGGTACGATTCAATGGAACGAACCAAAACTTGATAAATTTTAGAGGAATTTTGGAGGACTTGATTCCTATGAGATACATTTCTATATAGTTATTTGGGATAAAGGAATGATCTTCTAGGGTTTCTTTGAAATTTCTATAGAATGAACCATTTTATAGGAATTTTGGAGAAAAAAGTAGCATGAGGTTTCTTCCCATGATATAAAGTTCCTGTCCATACTTTTTTAGGTTGTGTTCGGTAGCCTGTGTTCCCAACCCATCTCTCTCGTTTTTCGCGCGATGCTTTTCAAACTTCTAAATGACATGTTTTTTTTCAATAAAGAATTATATAGGAAAGTTGCTTAAAAATCATATTAATCTATTTTTCAGGTTAGTCTTAGCTAATACTACCTCCGTTCCAAAATACTTGTCGCTTTGAATTTTTGTTTGTAACTTTTGATCATCTGTCTTATTCAAAAAATTATAGAATTATTATTTATTTTGTTTGTGACTTGCTTTATTATCAAAAGCATTTTGAGTATTACTTATCTATTTTTATATTTGCACCAATTTTTTCAAATAAGACAAATGGTTAAACGTTACAAACAATTCATTATACGATAGTACTTAATTAATTATACGATAACAAGTCATTTCGTTTTCCGTGCTAGAGAGATAGGCTCCCTACCAGCACAAACGAACGCAGATTATGGTATCTTCACAATCCTACGTTCCAAAGCAGCCTTAAAGTTTTCATTCAGTTTCATGAGTAGCCAAATAAGCCTCCTTGTTTGGAATTTGGTTCCAAATCTATATAACTTGGAGGTAAAATGAGGACCATGTTATTCAATTAAATCTAAGATATCTCGTTAAACACCAATATGTTGAGAGGTTTTATTTGCACAGATCTTACTTATGCATTGTATGAACGCTCTATATATACATGTATATTAGTTTGGTTGCGTTCGAATCTTCTATAGATGAAGACTAAAAGTGGGTACGCAAAACGAAAAATCCATTAGCGTGTGATTAATTAAGTTTTAATTATTAAAAACTTAAAAAATGGATTTATATGATATTTTAAAGCAAATTCTATATAAAAAATTTTCGCATAAAATATACCGTTTAGCAGTTTGAAAAGCGTGCTAACGGAAAATGAGGAAAAATCCGTATCTTTATGGAGTTAGAACAGGGCCATGGTGCTATGTATAATTAACCATGCAAAAAAATAACGACTTTGTAAATAGCAAGCTGACAATCATCAACACAATGGTTATGGCATCTTCCTTCAAAATTTAGACATTTTAGGCTGTCCTTTGATTACAATTAATTAAACTTGAGTTGAAAAACCAATGTGGTATGATTGAAATGCATGATCTTCACAGGTAATTGATATTTAAATTGTGTAATAAGAGTTTACAAGTCATTCCTAACAAAGGAATGGTTCACATATCTAACTACTGAATATAAACAAAAAAAAATACAAATTCAATGCTTATGACCAGAAAATACAACTTTACATGTTTTCTTTTACAATTGGCATAGCTCTAGTACATAATTGTTAATACGAATCATTTTGAAATGTGGACCCAACACAATTTGTGTAGGCATTTATCTTTTGCCACGCGCGACTTAACAGTTTTACAGCTCAGATAGAGAACGTTGTAGCTTCTTCCAAGATGATAACTCGTGTAAGGAAAAATAGAAGTAGATTGCTAAATAGCACAGTTGTTAGGATGAAAAGTGAGGCGAGTAGATGGGGAGCTTAATGCAAATTAAAACAATGCGGTAAAACACATGATTAAAGGAATAACACTGGCGTTGCTATGAGCCCACGAGTAAAATGAGTGTCTATTGCTATGGCAGCATGTTCTCTCGACTTAAGTGCTATACTTCTTGATATAAATAACTCATAAAATAAAGTCATAACCTTGCAAAAAGTAACAGTTTGACATCTTCACAAACAAGGGATTAAGAGAGTCGAATCCACGAGAGTGGAGCATAACAACCCTAGTATATAGGAGATATCAATTGCATTACTCAATACTCATGCCTCTGATTTTACTAAAAATATATTTTTTTAAGAAAAAAAACACATTAGAGGATGTGAGGTTCCATATTAATAGAGCAGAAAAGGTTACAAGATTACAACTCTAAAAACCTATAATCACGGAAAAAAAACACACCAACAGTCCTGATGATTCCTACCCACCAACTTGAGGAAAAAAACTAACACCGAGCTGGGACCTCGCATCAAATAGTGTAAAATGTATGTGATTTTTTTACATGCCTTTTGACTTTTCTTTTCTAAAAGGGTACATCAAATATAATTATACCAATATAATAGGAGAAGCTTTGCTACATAAAATTAACTTGGTGCACTCCCATAGCATTATCAGAGCAATGTGAAAAATGAACACGCTATAACTCAACATCGATCAATTTAATCTAAAAATTATCGAGTTACCTGAAAAAATCAAAAGAAATTGTTCTTCCTTTGCGTACAAGTTACGAAGCGAGCTTCGTTTGATAATTTCTTTTTAGGTTAAACAGAGTAAATTTCATAATACGACATATATCACTACTACAAAAATCGTTTTTCTATACGAGGGGGTCGGTAGGTTCCATGCGGGCCGCTTGTGGCGGCGCCTGCAAAAACCGCCCCCCCCCGGGGTGGGTCGATGAGCCGCATGCGAAGATCCATTATCGCATGCGGCTGCTTAAGACAGCCACATGCGATAATAGGTTTATTTTCGCATGCGGCTGGCTTAAGGGACCGCATGCGATGATCGGCCATATATGCTCCTCCAGGCCCGAGCTTGACCATTTGAAAACGAAGCTCTCTCTCTCTCCTAAAGCAAGCACCAATTAGGGGGGGAGGTTTTCAACTCGAAATTTTTGCTTGAACTCTATACGAAAGGTGAAGAACTCTCTCTCCTCCTTCATTTGGCTCCATTTTTGTTATATTTCGTTGGTGGAAAGTGGAGTTTTTTTTAATATTTTGACAAGGTTTGTTCTAACTAGTTTTTGCAAAATCTAGCTTCAAAATATATGTTTTGATGGGTAAATTTTGCATGTAATCACTTGTACATACTAGTTCATGTATTGTTGTAATTTTTTTGGGAGACAAATGCATTTAAACTTTTGTATGAAATACCTGCGGTCTATTTTTTTATCTGTAACTTTTTTGCCTTTATATAATTAGATGGATCGGTCGTCATGGATGTATGAGATGCGGAGAACGTAGCCTTTATTAAGGAAGCACCTAAATTTATTGATCAGGCTAAGGCGCATGCTTTGAGGGAGAATATGACAAAGATCTTTTGTCCGTGCCGTCATTGCAAGAATCAGAAATTGTTGGTAGATCCTGGTGAAATATTGGGTCACATAATGGAGTACGGATTCACCGCCAACTACATGGTTTGGACCTATCACGGGGAATTCGCCAATCCGGAAGATGACGATGAAGAGTTAAGTTTCGAGATGAATGAGGCAGAGAATTTTATAATCGAAGACATGTCCCGTGAAAGAATGGATGTCGATGTTTCCACCGATAGTGATGATTTCGATGGTGGTTTTGATTTAGAGGATATGCTACGCCATGTTGAACCAGAGGTGCTAGCGGGCAGGTCACGAGGATTGGAGAATTGGCAGGCATTAGAGAAGGCATCGAAGGATCTTCTTTACGATGAAACGAAGGGATGTGATAAGGATTTCACAGTCTTGCGTTCAGTGCTTGAACTTCTGAGATTGAAGGCTAAACATGGATGGTCAGACACAAGTTTTAATGATCTGATGAGTTTGTTGCGTGTGTTGCTTCCTAAGCCTAACTTTGTACCATCAAACACGTATCAAGCGAAGAAACTCATATGTCCTTTATCTCTTGGTGTAGAAAAGATTCATGCTTGTAAGAATCACTGCATATTATACCGTAAAGAATATGCGGACTTGGAATGTTGCCCAACGTGTGGCACAAGTCGGTATAAAACGGGGAATGGGCCCGTAGATTCAGAGTGTACCGATCCAGATTCTGATAAGGGTAAGCGCGGAAAGATTCCCTCAATGGTGATGTGGTACCTACCAATTAAGGACCGCCTGAAGAGTCTGTACTCAAACCCGACTGATGCTGAGTTGATGAGATGGCATCAAGAGAGCCGGAAGATAGATGGTATGATTCGACATCCCGCCGATGCTCGCAAGTGGAAGACATTTGATGTAAAACACCCAGAATTTGCAAAGGATCCCAGGAATATAAGGTTTGCGTTGAGCACTGATGGAATGAACCCGTTTGGTGACTTAAGCAGCTCGCACAGCACATGGCCAGTCCTTCTCACAATGTATAATCTTCCAACATGGATATGTCAGAAACGAAAGTACATTCTTCTCACTATCCTCATACAAGGTCCAAACCAACCTGGAATCGACATAGATGTTTTCCTTGAGCCTTTGATGGAGGACATGGAGGAGCTTTGGAAAGAGGGGTTACGACTATGGGATGAGTTTAAGCGGGAGCACTTCAATCTACGTGCGATCATATTCGTTACCATCAATGACCTACCTGCAAACTTTTCATTATCTGGGCAGATTAAAGGGAAGACTGGATGTCTGATATGTCTGGAGAAAACTTCGTACAAATACTGGACATCGTCTTTGAAGACAGTGTACATGCGACATCGACGGTTCCTACCACAAAGACATAGGTACCGTAAGATGGCTAGATTGTTCGATAATACAGTGGAGAATGACACTGCCCCAGCAGCAAGAGGTGGTACATACGTGTATGAGATAACAAAGAAGATTAAGGTTGTATATGGAAAGGGAAAGAAGAAGACAGTAAAGAGGAAGAAAGCTGATGGTGACAACGGTACTGCGTCGCCTTTCAAGAAG